GACTTTGCTGATGCGGCTGCTGCTGCTGGTTTGTACTTCTCCGACCGATGGAACCGACGACTGGTGTGCAACTGCTGGCGGGTCGGACTCAAGCGGGCCAAAACAGATAGCCGGGCCAACAGACAGACAGTTTGGGCCACAGCTTGCTCAGAGGTCGCCTGGAGAGAGCCAGAAAGATAGAGAGAAAGAGAGAGAGAGAGAGAGAGTACCGAATCCGAGTAACAACAACAAAACAAGTTTTGAGGCAACGCTTTCCGTTATGAATGAAAACAAAATGTGATGGCGTCGTCCCCAAAGGCTGCTCTCTCGCTCTCACACACAGAACGCTTTGCGCTCTTCCTCTCTCAGAGTTGTCTAAATTGCTTCGCTGCTTCTCATTCGCACTCAGCGGAAGAGCTTGCCCTGTCTCTTTTTGATAAACTCGCGCGATATCTATGACGTAGTCACCTGTTCTTTGTTTTGCTCAGTCACCCCATTCCCATACCCTGCTTCCCTCTTGCGTTTGCTCTATGCCGGGAGGGGAGGGTGCGGCCATACCTCAATCGCTTGCGTTTCTCCGATATATCGCCATTCGGACGAACTTCGTTCTGCATCTTCTGTGGGAACTCGTCCACAGCTTCGCCGGCTTCGGCTGCCTTCTCGTCAATCTCATCGCCCACCTGCCAGAGTCGGAGAAAAAGATTCAGATTTAGATTCAGATAATCCGCTAGACCAAGTGGTTGCCACTGTGTCAAAGACCTACCAAGAAACTTGGACGCTCCGCATCCGTGCCTGCCGCTGCATTTGTTTCCTCGCTCATCTCGCCTGATGATTTCTTTCTAATGTCGACAATGCTATTGTTGTTGTTCTTGTTCTTGATGATGGTTGTGTTGTTGTTGTGGTTCTGGTGACAGCTCAGATCGGACAAGGCAATATCCACCTCCGATTTAAGGCTCTCGCTGGAGAACTGTACCTTCTTGATGCTGGCTCCTTTGGGGAATCGCTTCTCGTTCAGCTTTGTTGTGGCTCCCGCTCCTCCCGCAGTGGTCGACGATAAGCTGCTTGTGGCTGTGGCTGTGGCTGGGACTGTGACTGGTGGCGCTGTAGCTGCAATCACGCTGGAGTTGCCTGGAAATTAATCAAGGAAAAATATTGATTACTATATAGATTGATATAATAGATCGATTAGACTATCAGTTAAATGTGCTTTGTGTGACTCGGGCCCTTTTAGTGCTGCTTATGGGTTCATAAAGTGTTCAGATTCTTACGATTAATCGGTGTTGTAGTCTCTGTTTCTCTGGCTGCGCTGGTGGATGCCGCGTGGACTGGTCTTTTCTGGCCCCGGCCAAAGATCAGGGTGAAGAGGAACGCGAGAAGTGCTGCCAGAGTGCCTAATATTGTGATCAACATCGGCTAAATCCAAAAAGCTGCTTTAAATCGGTGAATTCAAATTGGATTAGATAATGGATATCTTTTGTTCCGGCTCTACTACATATGTATGTATGTATTATATGGGACAGTGAAAGTGTCTGGCGGATAAAGAAGAGCCACAAATCTACGTGAATATTATTATAGTTTGCAGGTCTCGTCTCGTCTCGATTGGTCATATTTCAAGTTCAAAAACTTTGCCACAAATTTGTGGGCCAAAGAAGCAACGACGAAGCAAAACAAAACATAACCAAAGCCAAAATGCTAACCTATCCATAAACTAGTTTGCAGACACAAATTAAGAAATCGAAAATCCATAATATAAAGACCCAAATACCCCAAATCGAATATCGTTGCCAGGTCAATGAAGATACCAAAGAAGATCCGAAATCGGGATACCCTTTAACAAAACAACAAACAAAAACCAAGGGCATTTTAATATGGAAGAAAAACAGTCGGAATACTGAATATTACAATGCCAAGGTCCATGGGTCAAAGGCAAAAGATTGCCGAGCTAATGACGTACATAAGTTGGTACCTCACAATTAATACCCTTCCAGAGGGTAATAAAGCTACAAAATACCCAAAATTATAATTCTGTTATTGGGGTGTTCAATGTTCGGGTGCATCGCATTTAAATTTTAAAACAAAAACCGAAAATCCAAAAAGTGGGAGAAGGAAAATGAGAAATAACAAAAGCTGAAACACAAAAAAAGCAGTATGTGTATGGTATGTGGAAATGCAAATTGGCTTTGCTTATAGAAGAGGTCAATGATTTTGCCATTACAATACATGTATGTATGTATGTATATGTAAGTGTGCCAGCCAGCCAGCCACAGCCACAGGCAGGGCTTTGAAAGGCACAAAAAGGTGAATCGATCCACTAAGTAGCACAGGCTTATCAGGTAATTATGTAATAGTAAGCTGCGGATCTGTTTTTCAGCTCTTTTTTTCCGTCTTAAGGATTCGAAATACAATCCCCCAGATGGATCCCAAGCTCTTTTTAGCCGATGCGGATGGGAAATTCGATCTGTGAGTTTGTGGCCCAGTTCTATAAACATTTCTAATTGGCTTAATGTGAGTCGTATGTTTTTTCCTCCCGTCGATCAGATAAGAATTCTGAGCTGAAGTGCTCGACTAGAATCGGAATCTCTGCCGTAAAGATTACTCAACCGCCATAAGCACACACACGAAAAAGACGGAACGAATTCAAAGCCAGGGGCAATTATCTTTAGGGCCACACTTTTGGACACTTTTTAGGGCCTTGACTCGCTTTTGATGTAGATGCGTATAAATATACATACGAGTAGTATATTTAAATTCGAGTTAATGGGAGTTTTACCACTCTGCTTATATGTTTCTGTATTTCTTTAACGTATTTGTGTAGACTACTGCAGTCGTAGCTTTAGACGGGCACAAGTTCCGCACGAGTGATACTGCAGTGACCGACGCTTTAAATTCAACTGTGGCGCTGTGGGGACAGGCTCCTCGTCTGGAACCCACTATCGCGAGGGCTGCTGCTGATTCTGCTGCTTCTGCTGCCGCTGTCCAGCGGCTAGTTCTGCCGGCGTCGCTGTCACTATCGATATCAACTATACTTGTGCGTGCATGGACGGTGCGGGACGGTTGTGCTGCTGGTGTGTGCGTGCACAGGTTGTTGCGTCCGTATGTTAATCGCGACAGAGGGCCGCAGAGGTCGAGCTGTTTCTGCCGCCGCTGCTGCTGCTGCTACCGCTGACTACACAAAAAGAAAAGGTAAAAGAGCAGCAAGCAGCGTGTTTTATTTACAGTTTGTTTTCGCTAGTTGCCATCCCATTTTCCATGTTTATTTCCAATCGATAAGAGTCGATAGCGATCAGCTGTGTTTTGCCGTTGCTCCGGAACTCCTCTCTTCACCCACTGTGGGACACTTAAGTCAAGGTTGTTGTTGTTGTTGCGGTTGCTGTGTAAACGGTAAGCTGAATCTTTCCCGATGACGATAGTGCACTTAACGTGTGGAACATTAGCAACAAAATTAATCTATCAATTTGCTACCGTAAGTAGCCAGATTCTGATTACGCATTAGAGTTGAATTAGCGAGGTAATACAATATTGATTATCTCTATTGAATCGCCTCGGAATGCCCTTAAATCGGAATTAATAACGAATTCAGCACGCTGCCACGAGCCGAACACGCGAATCTCTGGGATTCGTGATTGTTTGGACATCAGCAGAGGTTTTTTTAAAGTCATAAAAGAAATTCCCGTCGACGACGCTTGCTCTCTATAATCTATGCGATAACCGTGGAAAATCTTCCGATTTTGGCATTGAAAACAGCCGACCTGTATGTTCCGACGAATTATTAATCATAATTGGCGCCGACGGTTCTGTTTCCCGCTTAACACTCCACACCATGCGATCAAGTGGTGGGCCAGCGCTTATCAGAGGCTGGCGGAAATTTACTGTTGTATTGGGATCTACCAAAATTCGGTCCCATTATTCATGTTTGGCGCGTGGCCAGTGGGTCTGCCTGCTGATACCATGGCCAATAATAGACCGAGGGGAAGTGGGGACGCCTATCAGCTGGCTGGTGCTGGCTCTCGCTCTGACTTACATATGGATGCACTCACACCGATTAGGTAATGGAAGCCGGCTTGTACTGGGACTGGAATGGGACTAGGCTTGGCTGACTGGCTTCCCATCCACCCACAGGCAGCATCACACACACACGCATGCATACATATATTTACACTCTCTCCCTCTCACAAACAAACACACATAGAGACGAGGCCATCGCGCGATGTTCACAGTCCAATGGGAATCAAGGTCAGTAACAGTGGTGAGAGCGAAAGAGAGTAGCGAGAGAAAAAGCACAACATATTGGAAGGAAAATATGCTGGCCTGTACTTTGATTGATGGAACAAAACACACAATGTGGACTTTATCAAACGAATGCAAATGATAAACAAACGGAATCTTGATTTAGACTGGGGCCCCAGCAGTTCCTAGACATATGTACATAATAATGCCTCTCCCTCTCCCCTAAGGGTGAATAACCCCCAGGTGCGGCTACTGTTGTTATTTGCATAGGAGCATGCATATTATCTATGCAGCTGCCACTAATCAGATAGTAATTACATGTTTACTGCCTAGATTACCGCACACTGCAACGACTTACTTTTCTCCATCGTATTGCGCTGCTTTCCACGTTTCTTTCTGTTAGCAATTTTGTTTTCTGTAACTGTTCTTTTCCGGGTGGGAAGCTCTGGCCTGGCCTGGCTGTGTGTGGCACTAAGATTTTTGATGCCGAGGGGAGTGTTCTAGCACTTTCACGGCACAGGCAATGATCGTGTGGCAACGTTGATTAGTGCCCCGCGTATGGTTAATGGGCAGCTCGGCTGCTTTCTTCTGTTCTTTTATTTTTTCCACTTGATTTTTTTCGTATTTCACGCGTAATTTAGACTGCAGCGCCAATGTGACCGTTTTCCCGCCCCAGAATAATATAAATACAGAAACACTGCGTATACCAAAAACAGCTGACTGCCGCTCGTTTGCCAACACTTGGCCTCATCAGGGCTGCATTTCTCTGCAGCAGATTTTCCGCGCGGCGCGCGTGTATTTTATAAACATTTGGCGACGCCTCTTACAAACAAATCCAACGAAAGAAATATGTTCGATGTGGAGCCCATTATTGCCGACCACAAGGATGTCATTCACGACGTGGTGTTCGACTATTACGGCCGCCGCATGGCCACCTGCTCCAGCGATCAGACAGTAAAGGTGGGTAGTCTACCGGCGGGGTAAACAAACGAATTTACGACTAGCATCTTAATTTTTGCAGATCTGGGACGAGGATGCGCAGGGCAAGTGGAGTGTGACGAGCAGCTGGAAGGCGCACTCGGGCTCCATATGGCGCGTGTCGTGGGCCCATCCGGAGTTCGGGCAGGTCGTGGCCACCTGCTCCTTCGACCGCACGGCCTCCGTGTGGGAAGAGGTGATCGGCGAGAAAGTCTCCACCACGAACACGCCGACTCGGCGATGGGTGCGCCGCACGACGCTCGTCGATTCGCGGACCAGCGTCACGGATGTGGAATTTGCCCCAAAATATCTGGGCCTACTGCTGGCCACCGCGTCGGCGGATGGCATCATACGCATCTACGAAGCTCCCGATATCATGAACCTCTCCCAGTGGCCGGTGCAGCATGAGATAGCCAACAAGCTGCCGCTGAGCTGTCTGTCCTGGAACACGTCCACCTACATGGTCACCCAACTGCTGGCGGTAAGTGTACATGACTCGGCACCAGGATCTCTTAACCTCGTACGTCCTCTCCCTTGCAGGCTGGCAGCGACGACTCCGCCACGCCCACGGGTAAGGTGTTCCTCTTTGCCTACAGCGACAATGCCCGCAAATGTGTGAAGATTGACACTGTAAACGACATCACGGATCCCGTCACGGATGTGGCCTTTGCCCCGAATGCCGGACGGACCTTCCACATGCTGGCCGTGGCCAGCAAGGATCTTTATATTGTGAATCTTCGCGGCGTCACGTAAGAACGGGGGAGATTGTACTCTTGGAGCTGCCCTAAAGTTAATCATTTTTCATCGCTTTAGAGATTCCACGGGCACCACCAAGTTGGACATCCAGACGGTAAAGTTTAGCGACCACAACTGCCCCGTGTGGCGTGTCTGCTGGAACATGCTGGCCACCATGCTGATCTCCACCGGTGACGACGGCTGTGTGCGGCTCTGGCGCATGAACTACAACAAGCAGTGGAGGTGTGCCGCTGTCCTGAAGGCCGAGGGCGGTGGACCCACTTACGAGCCGGCTCCGCCAACCCCCACGCTGGCCGCCACCGCCTCGGCCACGGCCAAGTTCTACAAGAAGGGCACCATTGGCAACCAGGTGCCGTGGCACTGATGGACCTACCCGCACAGGCCCACTAATGTTTAGTAGCGATGAATGTTGTAGTAGATTGCTTAAGTTCCGAATTAAATAAAATATCTGAGAGTGGATTCCATTCCCCTTTGTTGCTGATTGGGCGGATCCCATCCCACTTACGCTTCACGTGTGGAGCGGCCATTCTGATGCAGCGTCCGCTGCAGCAGCGAATCAAGAGCGTCCTGGCCAACATGTTTCCCGATCACATTTCTCGGTTATCTCGGATTACATCACAGAAACGTGCGGATCGCGTGCAGCAGCTGCATGGCTGTGGCATGAACGTGTTCCCGGCCAAACTGAAACAATTCGTTTATTGATTTTGTGACAAGTTCACAAAAACAGAAGCAGCTCAAATCAAATTTGTTCACTCAACTCACAAAATAATAAACGAAATTCGCGCAGCGCAAGAGGCAGATCTGATACAAGGTGTATTCGTGAGAAGGTGAGGCCACTACTTTTAATAAATATTTCTGAAGGATATAGAATCAGTGTGGCCGTACAAACTGCAGAAATTATGTTGTCAAACGATTTTGCTGGAATGCCACACCTTTATCCAAAAAAACCTTTGCTGGAACGGATGGAATGGAAAAACATAAAATAAAATCAAAATTGAATTCAAAATTATGAGAGCACTCTGCGACCAAGCGTCACCTCGTATTAGTGTGGCCTTGGAACTGATGTGCTAACGGCTCGCTGGGCTATTTTTGGGTTGGAAAAGATGGATAGGTAGAATGCACCAGGGGCGGGGAGAAATAGAGAAAAGGAAAACAAACATATTTCAAGTTCATTTATTTAATTCAAATTGAGTTGCTATATTGGCGCATATTTTGGTTCGATTAATCAACCCCACACAAGTGAAATGATCTACATAATCGCCGATTCCCCATTCCCCAAGTCTCAAATCAATGAACCATTACGCGCGCACATGAAATCCTTTTCAACTTGCACATGTGCATAAATTAAGTAATCCCAGCAAGTGGCCAGCTTTTATGGATATTTCCGACACCTTTAACACGAAAAACCATTCAGAAATATATGAAAACTATTCCACTTAATTGACTCGCACCGCAATAAAAACGAAATCATTTGACTATTTATGACATCCATTCACACAATGAAAACTACACCAAGCACTCCTCGAATATCCACCCCGCGGCAGGTTCTGCTGGTTGTCTCTGCTCCTGTCCTATGAGTGTGCTTCTAGCCCGAACGTAATCCAAGGAATGAAACCCACTTCGTAGCGCTCTTTTGGTTTTGTAGCCACTGCCGAGGACAGTACTCGTAGAACCACCCCATGGTATGCTACCCCACCCCCGGCTGTCCTGTATCCGAATGATTGTCTCTAATTGGAAGTTGTGACGTGTGTATTATGCTGATGGTGTTGACGCCGATCTTCGGTACGGACCGGCCTCGGCGGCCCACCCTCGACTACGATTCCAATACGGGACTTGCTCTCCGCACGGGGTGGTGGTGGTGGATTCGTAGACCGAGCGACCGAGCGACCGACCGGCGTGGGAAGTCAAAGCTCAGAGGTCTCTCACTCGGTCGTGTCGTGCGAGTATTGACAATATTTATTTTATATGTGTTTAGCTGGCAAAAATAAATTAATGCGCAAAAGATTGTTTCTTCGTAGGCTGCAATACAAAAAAACAGTTATCCGTGGCTGTTTAGGGGTTGCTGGAAATCCGAATATTCCCATAGAATTGAGAGCAATTATGGTTGCTCGGTTGCAAATGTAATTTCGGGATTCAAGTGCATTTCGAGTGTGGAAAAGGAAATTACGGATATATCTGGCATATCATTAGTTTGAAATTGGATTTGATATACGGAATTCCAGGTTCACATATTTATCAAGTTGATCAAAAGATACATATGTATAGGTTATCAATTTTAATATTTTCACTTAGATTTTAATATTTATTACATTGATTTTCATCCAAGAGTTTTTGTATTAAAATTGAAAATTTTCACTTATACTTTGATATAAATATGAAATTATTTGAATTTAATGCAATCTAATATTTTTCATATTTAATTTAAAAATATTTCATATTTAAATTGAATATGTTTTATGTTTAAATTAATTATTTATTATTTTGCCTAGCGGACCACATTTCATTTCTTTATGGTGTGAATTGGTTAAATAAGAAATTTCATTCAATATGGAATATTTAGAGTTTTTCCATTTGATTTCAAAATAAAAATGTTCAAATTAATATTCAATATGAATATGAAACATATTTCACTGCTAATTTAATATGTTATAGTTATTTTAAAGTGTTTTGTATCTAGATTGAATATGAACGTATTAAAAAGCCTTTTTAATAAATTTATATTTGAACCAAAGTGAATTCTTTTTAATTTAACTATGTTTGTATTTAAAAATCACATATTAAATTCAAATACGAGTGTAGCTATTTTTATTATGCCTTTTTTCTATCAGTGTAGCAACAAACTGTAAATAAAGCTTATAATTAATAAATAAAATATATTTAGTAGGAACAATAATGATCTTTAATTTTAAAATTTCACTCATTAAAGAACGTAAAAGAATGAATATAAATATAAAAATATATACGAAAACACACGTGTTGTTCAGTGGTGACAAAATCTTGAGCCCTTTTGGTTTCCAGTTTTGAAAATTCTTGTTTTTTCTGTGGTTCCCGGGGTTTCGGTGAGGGTTTGGTTCGGTTCGGTTCGATTCGACCCTTTGCACCTTGTGGCCTCTGTTTCCTAATTACAAGCGGCGAACGTGCAGCCGGCTTAACTAACTCATTTGGATTGGGTTTTCTCGTTCTCTGTTTTTAGTTAGCGCTTGTCACACACATAACACACACACAGGCAGGTATATGAATGGGGGTATACTCGTACGCGTATCCCTGTGCTTATGCAAATTTCATAAACCATAAACAGCATTTCCATATGAACACGCAGGACTGCCGTTGACCCCCATCGTTGCTGCTGCTGCTGCGGCTGCTGCTGCTGACCAACGGTCAGTGGCAGCTTATTAGTCGCGATTACGGCATGAGGGGATTACTTCCAGGCCAATGGATACGCAACAATACGACAGGGGTTTCGGTTTACTTAAAATTTGAGTTACATGTCGAAATGGGAGGCCCTGGATGATCGATTCTATTCCTTTTTGGCGTTCGGCGGAAGGTAGCCAAAGCGCAGACGCGCCTGCTCGTACAGCATGAAGGTGATTATCGTGTTGGGACTCACTCGCAACAGGGCCGGAATAAAGCCCTTGTAGAATGCCAACGGCGACTGCTTGAAGATGCTAAGGACCACCGCACCAAGGCCGGAGTACTCGCCCGGCTTGGCATTCATGTATCTGGTCTTGATCACGTCGATGGGCTGTGTCATGATGGTGCCAATGCAGCCGGCTATCGTGGAGGTGAGAAAGTGCAGGGGCAGACCCTCCTCTGTGCCGAAGGTGCCCTGGATTATCTGCTTCACCTGATCGTAGGTCGCGTTAGTGCCGATTGTCAGGACCACGGCTCGGGTCACAGCGGGCACGGCGCCCCGAAAGAGACTCTTGACGCCCTCCTCCTTCTGTATGCGGTACAGGCCATCGAAGACGTGCTTGTAGCTGGGGAAGTTTGGATACGTTTGGATACATTTAAATATCCCCAATCTCTCCACTACTCACTTTCGCCTCTTCTCCGGCGGCATCTTGCTGTCGTTCTGAAGCCTAACAGTGACCACATCTCCCGGGACACCCACAATTCCGCCCAATATCCCGGCAAAAATCGCAAGCTGCACCTTGGCAACGACATTGCTCGCGTCCACGAACTTCTTGCCGTACTCATAGAGGGCGAAGCGGGCCGTCGTGTAGGTTAGCTGTCGGAACCAGGAGGCAGAGATGCCGTTGTAGAAGCCCGTGAAGCCGCCCCGCTTGTAGATGTTCGATATGACCCGGCCAACCGACACCTGATCGCCCTGCGCCTGCGTCTGCAGCTGCACCTTAACCAGATCCAGCGGATGCGTGGTTGTCACTGCAATGGCGGAGCAGACTCCGCCCGACCACCATCGCGGCAGACGCTGCTTGTCGATATCTGACATGGATCGGTGGATTCTCAACTATTTATTGCGTTATGTGGCATCCGTCTACCGATTTCCACATAGTACAAAAATACTACAAATCTGGATTTTGGATTTTGGATTCCGTCTCTCTCCAGGCCGCCTCAGCTGGTGAGGGGAAATTTGTGTGCCCCGTAAACTTCAAGGATATACAGAACGGAATTAGATGGCATGAAATTGTACTCTTATATATTTTTAGAATCCTCTCGTTCCTTCTGCCAAAGGCGTTTCCACTGCTCCATTTTTCTTATTAAACAAATGCCTTTATTTACAATAGTTTCACAAAAGGTTCATAGATCTTAATTCTGGATGATAGATGGTTGCTTAGATTAGGTTGCTTAGGTGCCTCTGTTGCTGTATACGATCCCAACGAGATGATCTCACTGGGATCTCCGGGAGGAGGCCAAACTTACGACTATCACACTGGGGCCTGACTAGACTCTGTTTTGGGATTTCCATTTCCATTTGCTGATCCTGTTTCTGTTTCTGTTTCCTTTCTGTTCACCATTCCACTAGGACATTCAATAGGCCATCTCGGCTCCCCAGGGTCGGTAGGGCTTGGCGCCGTTGGGCGTGGCATATTGCAGGACGCTGGCGTTGTTGTAGTCCTGCCCCCCGCTCACCGGATACTGAGGAGCTGTGCTGTAGCTGAGACTCTCGCCGCTGGCTGGAGGTCGGTGGCTGTTGGTCAGATCGATGTAGGTGGGAATCTGTTGCTCCGGATGGACAACCGTGTGATCGTGTGTGTAGTGTTGCTGCTGCTGCTGCTGTTGCTGCTGTTGCTGGGGCGGCTGAGGCGTTGTCTGGGTCCGGACATGGGTGGCAGGTTGCTGTTGATGTTGCACCTGTTGTTGTTGCTGTTGCTGCTGCTGCTGCTGCTGCTGCTGTTGTTGTTGTTGCTGCTGTTGCTGGCTGCTGCTGTCGGAGTGCAGCTCATGTGGTGGCAGAGCCTCAATGACACCACCCGATCCACTCGTCCTGGACACGCTGGTCCGTCCACCATGTTGCTGCTGCTGCTGCTGCTGCTGTTGTTGCTGCTGCTGTGGTTGCTGCTGCGAGGGCGATGCACTCAACGTTGGGTAACTGTGCAGAGATGAGCTGGCGACATAGGCACCTCCAGGATTTCCAGCGGCGGCATATGTCTGGTAGGGAGTGGCCGCACAGCTGCCGGTCGGCTGGTAGCCAGCGGCACTTGCAGCAGAGGCGGACCAGCCACTGGGACTGGCACAGCTCTTGGCCGAGAGCTCCCGCTGCTGCACAAAGTACTGCAGGTGGGACATGAGGCGCAGGCGCAGCGGATCCTGGATGTCCATGCCCTCGATGGTCACCAAGTAGCGGGCCACCTCGGCGGCGCACTCCCGGAACCCGATGATGTGATAGTCCATGGCCACGCGCTGCGGGTCATAGCTGAGCGAGTCCAATGCTGCAACAAGAAGAGGAGGCGGAGGCGAAAGTCAATAAGCTGTCTAATCTATCGCCAGAGACCAGGGCAAACAATTAAAATAGTTGTTCCCACGCGACTGCCTAAACAACCACCCCCATGTCCTTGTTCGGGATGGGACAAGCCACAGTGGCAGGGACTGTGCAGGGCAGAGGCAGGGGGTGGCACTGCTAATGCCAATGTTTGGCCCAGGGGTGGAAGCGCCCTGTTCGCCCGCTTTTGGGTATAAAAAGCGAGTGGTAGGCGGGCAATGAGCAGCGTGGGAAGCCCCGAGATTCGAGATTCACTTGGGCGGTGCGGCTCACGGCTATTGTCTCTGCGTTTTTCCCATAATGCCCGCACCCTAATCCTCCCTCCTGTTTATGGGAACAACAGGTTGCCTTTGCTTACAGAGATTTCTAATAATTTGTGTAATATTTATCCCAGTTTAGTGTTTTAAATGCCTCCCAAAAGTGCTGAGATCCCTAGCGTACGCTGTGGGATGCAAAACTGCTTCCTCATATTTTAGTTGTAGTTTTTTTGGAACTATTCAATTCGATAGGAACTTGAAACTGCTGCCCAGAACTCTGTATGCGAAATTGTAAGGCTTTTTCTTTCTCTATTTTTTTTGGCTTTGCGTACAAATTTCTAAATAATAACAAAAGGATTCAAATAAAATTCCATATTAGCTTTACCCTCTAAATCTAAGCATACGTGAAGATAACCCTTTCTTGATCTCTAAAGACGTTGTATCTTGAAAATTGGCTAATCGACTAAAGGGATTCATTAATCATGAATATCGAGTTATATCGAACCTTCGCAAACTGAAATTGTAATCCATTTTTGATGAGGAATTTCGTATAATTTTCCTTCCCAAAATCTCTTTTTGTGCCCCCAAAAATTCTGTAATAAAAGAAATTGAAACTTACTTTTCGACTGCAAATTCTTGAGATGCTCCACCGTGAGCTGGAGGATTTCGGCCTTCTCCAGCTTGGCGGATCCCTGCTTCTCGTAGGCGGAGGGCACCAGACGCTTCAGTTCGGTGAGCGAGGAGTTGATGCGGTCACGCCGCTTCTTCTCGATGACTCCGCGACGCTTCTTGCGGCTCATGAGCTGGCAGCTACCCGGCTGACTGGGAGAGATTCTGCAAGCGGAAGAAATGAGCGAAATGTTAATAGGAAGAGCCCACTGAATATTTGTGTAGATTACGCATACGCACTGTTCTTTGGAGGACTCCTCCGAGTAGAGGTCGTCGCAGTCGCTCTCGGAGAGCGCCCGCTTCAGACTGTTGTGGCCGTGGCTGTGATGGCTCTGCGGCGGCTGCACCCAGTGGCTCTGGGGCGTGCTGGTGGCTATGGTGGCTGGCAAGGCCACAGCGGGACCTGCCGCATAGCCCCAATGGTGGAGTGGCGCATTCACGTGCATGTTGTGGTCCATCTTTGTCCTTTGTTGATCCTGCTGCACACTGCTGCTGGACACTTGACTGGGAGCACTGGGCGATTGTCTTATCACTTGAGATTCTCTCTACTGCGGCACTGGACTTGGACTTGGACTCGGAACCGAAGAGCAGAGCAGAGCAGAGCAGAGCGGAGCGGAGCTGGCTTGAGCACGTGACTTATCGTGTGCGCGAACGGCGTTCGACTGATTTTGCAGCACACGACTAACGGACGACCTGCCCGTCGTCGCTGCCGCCGCTCAACCCCTTTCTAACGCCGCCGGCAGCCGCCCAATAAGATGCAGCAGCAACCACCCCCTGGCAACGCGTGCCGCCGCTCTCCAGGACTCTCGACGTTCAGGCTGGGGGTAGGTAATAGTCCGCGATGATCGCTGCAAGGCCAGAGAGACCAACAAATGAACAAGGGCGAACTGCCAGCGAGACAGAGAGGGAGAGACAGAGAGAGAGAGAGAGAGAGACAAGACGAGACGGCCTTGGCGTGAGCAGCACGGACTTAGTGTGCGAGAGGAATGGAAGGATGGATGAATGAATGAATGCCGGCCAAAAGAGCAATCCCTGTGTATACGGACGGACGCAATCGCATCCGCCTGTCATCAATGTCGATGGCATCAGCATCAGCATCAGCATCGGTATCAGCACCAGCATCACGACATCGCCGTGGGCGTCTGTCTGTCCGTCCGTCCGTCGACTGACTTGTGTTGTGCTGCCACTTGCTCCGCTCCTGCCGCTGCTGGCCCATGGAATGGCTGGAACTGGAGCACGCGACCCGAACAGCGGCCGGTCGTGTGGCCATGGCCCTGGCGCCGTGCCCCAACAAGTGCAACGGCCGTCGTTGACCTTTATCTGCATACGAACGCACGTCCCGTGTCTGGCCCACATTTCTAGGTCAGTGTTGCCTCAAGGTTACGGGAGCCGCATCCCATCCGCCCTGCGTGGGCAGGTGCCCGGAGGCGGTGTGCTGACCTTCAGCCTCAGATGAAATCGATACACTTCCCTGTTAATTGTTAGGCACCCAAGGAAAGTAAAGCTCGAGCAACAGTGTTTTTGTGCTATGCAGCGACATAACAGGTTGGTTTTGGCATGCTTATAATATATAATAATATATAATTATAATAATATAATTAGCAATTAGCCCCCAAATTATATTTATTTAATTCAAGACCCGCAATTCTGTGACTATCGTAATTTTCACTCGGCATCTGCAGTGCCGATATCCAAAATACATAATTGATAATTATAATTATTTCTTTACTTCTTTGGTAGCATTAATTCCCAATAAAATTGGCTCATTAAATGAACTCCATTTCATATTCCACCAAGCAATCTTTAGAGGGAAAAATGATAAAAACATTATAAGGAGAGCTCAAACATATTAATATATGTATGTAGTAGCTATATCGTTACTCCTACAGTGATAACTTAGTATGTAGTATGTTTTCACACTAGCAGTTCAGCCAGCAATATTGACTCTTGTTTGTAGCTTTAGGATGGAATGACAGTAGCAGCGTAGTCCCTCTGACTTTCCTGTGTTATTCATACAAATCATTTGATATGAATTGAACTCACACTTGACTTTTTCGACTGTTCGACTGTTCGACTGTGTTATGAGTCTAGCTCATTCATGAAAATGTTGTCAAATGCTTTTTGTAGACAGTGTGCCATTTTGTTGGCTTCCCTTTACTAATTTGAAGTATATCACAATGCTAATAATATCCAGCTAAATATTCAGACTTGCGTATGAACAAACGGCTGTCACGAGTTCCAACTGCGGCAAGGATCCTGTGGATCTAAACGTATTCCAGCTCTCGGCATACCCTTGAAGAAATAATTTGTCTGGCAATGTAATCGGCATAGGAAACTCTTTAAAATTAAGAAATTAATGTAAACAGTCTGCCCACCGTCTCGGTTTCGATTGCATTCCTTTCCCTTCCCCACAGAGTCCTCGGCAGCAAGCAATTCCCCTTCCAAATCTGACCAATTCCGTTGCGATGCCCCAAAACTCTGCTCGTTTCCGTGGCGTATGCTTGATATTAATGCTTGAGCTCATATCAATTTCGAAATGAATTGAGAATGGAAAATAATAAAAAAGTGCTTTTAATTTGATTCGGCATGCTGTCGCTCAGGTTTCAAATGTAACAAAAAGTAAAGTGAAAAATGTTTAATGGCCAATGCCAGGGCCAGGGCCAGCGTGGGACAATCTCTAAGCGGCGGCAACTATGAAACTGTGAACTGTGAACTGAGAACGGAACCCACCCCTAATCAAGTGAATGGATAGCAGCAACAGCAACAGCAACAGCAAGTTGAACTTGCACCACCGACGGGCCCAAAATCGCAGCCGTGGCTCGTGGCTCGTGGCTCGTGGGAAAGCCAAAGGTCCGGGGATTCTCACGCATGTTCAGCACGTGCAGGTCGTGCGCCGTCCGCTTCATAGAGAGACAGACAGAGACAGACCGAGAGAGAGAGAGAGTGCACTGGGATACTCCCCCGGTACGAGAGACAAATTGTTTGAAGTGCATTCAAGGTATGGAGCCAAAGGAGCGTCGCAAACACTTTATTTTAATGGATTTGTAGCAACAACTTTCTATAATGAAAATTGCGGTCTATCATATACATACAACAATATACTCATACACATGTACATATCTACTACATATAGTAAGTACCTTCTCACATATCTGGTTACATATAATTTCATTCGGGCGGAGGTCAAAGTCAGAGGCCACCGAATACCGAATTTAGAAGCTCTTAAGGCAAAGATTACTGTGTGTTCCTGTGGTTTGTTGGGGCTTCTGCTGCTCGTCGACGAAGGGCCCCAGGCTAAGCGGCTCCGCCTCATCGATCCACGTCTCCAAAGTGCAGGAGCTCGACTGGTGGCTCGACCTCTGTGACTGCGACTGTGACTGGGATCGGGATCGGAAGTGGGAGGGACCGGTCGCCGCCCTGCGCCACCGACTATCAAAGTCATCCCAGTGGGTGGACAGCTGCCAACGATCCATGCTCTCATCGTCCATTGAGTTGCCATTGATGTCCCACTTGACGATGGGATAGTCGTCGTGCGGCGGCTCCATGATCACCACGTTGTGGTAGTTGCCCTCGAACTTCGATCCCAGACTGATGCTGCACGGATGGAATCTGGCTGCAGTCTGCATTGGTTGTGGCTTCTGTTTTGGTTGCAGCTGCTGTGACTGCTGTGACTGCTGTGACTGCTGTGACTGCTGCTTCTGTTGATCCTCCACCTGCAGATGCAGATCCAGGCTGGAGTTGGACGGAGTGTGGCGCAGATAGCGCACATTGGCCCTGTAGGGCACGCGCTCGAACTCAATGCCGGAGTCTGTTACGGGGGTGGACTCGAGCACTTCATAGTTGCTCGAACTAAGCAAGTACCTGCTCCTCAGGTCTAGCTTTGCCTCTGGATAGTGAAGCTGCGGCTGGGCTGCTTCTCCTTCTCCTCCTCTGCCGCCTCGCTGGCATACTCAAAGTGTTGGACGGTTTGTGGTTGCGTTTGGAGTTGCTGGTGGTGGTGTTGGTGTTGGTGTTGGTCTGGCTTGGGACTGCACTCAGTCAGCTGCAGCTCTTCGTAGATGGCCTCCGCCGTGTGGCAATTGCTGTTCACATCCTTCTGCAGATACGCCTCCCCATCGGGCTGCTCCATCTGCTCCTCCTCCTCGTCGCCATCCTCCTCGTCCAGGCGCTGCACAAAGAGTTGCCTTGAAGTTGATATCCTGCGCAGCAACTGTAAGGCAAATCGTTAAAAATAAATCGTTAAAAGTGAGCGGCCAACGCGTCGTATGAATAAGAAACTATATGCACGGGGGTTGCCCCCCGGCGGAGGTTCGTTGCTTCCTGTTCCGCCTGTTCGTTGAATGTTTATTTTAGTGCCTTCAGGGGCATCGATTTTTTATCGATTGCCCACTCCAGCACTCGGCCAGGCACCAATCAAGTCTTCACCGCACCGCACCGCCCACTCACCTTCAGACAGGACTTTTTGGTGCGCCTCAGCAAATGGGACATTCTGCTTGCCGTCTCTGACTCCGTCTGTGTTCCAAAAATAAGGCAGAACTGTGCAATTATCGCGGCTATTGTTGTGGCTTAAACGTTGACAGGAGCCTGCCTCATCGCGACGGCTGCGACGGCTGCTGCAGCACCTTGGCCTAACAAAACAAAACTGAAACTGAAACTGAAATGGGAACTGAACCCTCGCTGGCGGCGTCGGCGGTGGCGGTGGCGGCGACTTGCAGGTGGAGCTGGCAAGGACACCCTCCCTCGGTCGTGTGCCACATGACTCATGGCAGCCACTGCAAATGCCAGCTGAGAGACGACCCCCACGCGACGCGACGCGACGATGCGGTCGGCACAGGCGCAGTATAATCCGCAGAATATGGCCAGGCGAGCGCACAGATTGCGGAATCTCGAGTGGGGGGTCTGGGGCGGGAGCTGGGGCGCCTAATGCGGTAATAGCGGTGCTTAAACCGAACCCAGCCCCGTCAGCCCACAATTCTCCTACTCGTCCGAGTGCCCTCGAATGGCCGGTCAAGTGTTTGGGCCCCCCTAACCCACTAATTTCCTGGGCCAAAGGTAGGTCCTGCGGTCGGATTAGTGGCTTCGTGTTTCAGTATTGTGGGCGCCGAGAGTCTCAGAGGAAAGTTTATTAGGAAACTATTTCCGGAGAGAGCTTCCTGCAGCCTTTTGGGACATTTCAAAAAGGAAGGATATATACCTACATACACATATCATATTTTGGGTGTTTGGTGGCCGTTCTGTTTTCAATTCATTCACAATTTAATACTAAAACTCTGCTTCCTTGACAAGTTAATTTTCGTTGGGCTTATCAGCTTTTAAATACGCTGAAATCACATCACAGCTGCCTGAACCTTTGACCCTAGCCGAAATGATAATGAAATCAAGTGTAGACTATTAAATTCCGCATATAAAAGCCGCACAGACCAGCCGTTCAAGAGGTTAAATAAAGAATAGAGAAGCAACTGAAAAAAAGGATCCATTCACAGCAAGTGGAAATTCGGGGAGTCGAAATGGTTAATCAATTGCTATGGGAAACGAAACCCAAGGCACTGACGCTGGCCCCGAGCGTCAGTCCTAATTAATGACATTTGCATGTAAATTTCAAGCAAATTAAGCAAATGATTTAAATGCATTTTCGTGTAAATATCTAAACCAGTTTTTCCCTTCGAGTTCGCTTTTTATTTGGTTGTCGAAAATGGAAACACTTTCGTCCAGCACTTTACGCCGATTTGTCACATCACTCAAAGTGAGGGCTGCTGCCGCGGGGACACAGGAGCAGGATACACAGAACATTGCTGTGGTTTCGGGTTATTTTGAAATCGAATTGAAAACTGAAATGAAATCTATGAAATCTCGTATGTAGTGTGAATTGAATGATGACACTCGCAGCAAATTGCAATCAAATCGCAATGATTCGGCACTCGCCAGGACCCGACCGAACAGGACAGGACAGTCACAATCCCATCTTCGGGCTCTTGAGCGTGACAATAGCCCTTTTTGGTCATCGCTCAATATTTTTGGATTTTGATTTTTGACAGTTGTCATTCTCAGCTCTTGGCTTTCTTTTTTTTAAGAGACATTCTTTGGCTGCAGCCCGAAAGGGTGTTGGCCCATCAGAGGCGGAAGATATTGATGAGCTTGCCCAATTAACAATTGATTGATAGACCCATCTGCGGCAAAGGCGGTTGGATAGTGGAAAGTGCAGAGTACAGAACGAAGAGCGCGCCGCAATTGCCAATATCGATTACAAAAGTTGGATTTTAATTTTTAATTGCCGTTCGCTGTGCCCTCGGGGGGGTTGCGCTCGATTTGTCAGGAGAACAGACCGCAATCCTACCCTGCCCATCCGCCTCGCTCCCTCTCCTCTCCTCTCCTCCTGCCAGGACACGTACTCGACTATTTTTATGGTCATTGCCGTGGAATTTGTTAGGGGTGTGTGGAGGGGTTTGACACGGCACGGAAAGGACCGAAGAGAAGAGTGTCCGTGTCCTCGGGCAAGTGTCAATTATGCACGTCTTGATGATGGCATGGCCGCAATCGATGCTGAAAATTTACATTTTATTAGTTTTACATGCTCGGCCAGCGGTTCGAGGGCATTAAAATTATTTACGATGCCAAATATTGTTGGTTGTAAATTTCGCATTCTGGCAAATATCAGGGGCACAAGGCGCACGAGGCAGGAGGCACGAGGCAGGAAGGGATGTGGATGTGGATGTGGATGTGTGTTGCGTGGCATGGAATTGTAACGGACGACACAATCGCTTGACCTTTGCTGCTAATTAGAGCCTCATTGTTCGGTTCCCCCCGCAGCCAGCTCAGCTTAAATGGCTGGCAAGTCTGTTCGGATTTGGACCCTAATCGTTTGAGGTCCGATGATGCTGATAGTATTCTTATCACCTAAAAGTCGCAGCAGCTAAGTCAAAGCACTCTCTCGTTCTCAATCTCAGTCGCACTTGGAGTGGGCAGCCGTGCAGAGATGTCGAGCGGAGTCAAGCAAATCCAATACTACGAGCACAAGCTCAACATTCGCCGGGTCATCGAGGAGCAGTCGAATCTGCGGAACGTGGACGCTGCCCTCAATATCTGCGATCTGTCCAGTGTGGAGCGGAAGTATAATCTGTGGGTGAAGCATCTTCCCCGAATCACCCCCTACTATGCCGTCAAGTGCAATGATGATCCGATTATTGTCAAGGTGCTGGCGGAACTCGGCGCCGGCTTCGACTGTGCCTCCAAGAACGAACTCAAATTGGTGAGAGTGAGAAAAATCCACAAATATTACCTAACCTAACTCAAAGGGGGAATTTCCATTGTCCGTTCTTTGCAGGTTCTGGGATTGGATGTAGCGCCAGAGCGGATTATATTCGCCAATCCCTGCCGTCCGGTCAGCCACCTCGAGTACGCCCAACAGCATCGGGTGGCCAATGGCACGGTGGACAACGAGTTTGAGGTCTACAAGCTGCACAAACACTATCCCCAGTCCAAGTAAGTGATCTCTCCCTCGCTCTCCGACGCCACTCTTATCGGTTGATCTCTCTCGCAGCTTGATTGTGCGCTTCAAATCGGAGGCCAAGGAGGCACAGTGTCCGCTTGGCGACAAGTTCGGATGCGATGCGGACGCGGATGCCACGGCTTTGATGCTGTTGGCCAAGGCGCTCGAAATGAATGTGACTGGTACCAGTTTCCACGTGGGCTCCGGCTGCAGCGAGCTGGAGGCGTACGATCGGGCCATCAAGAAGGCCAAGAATATCTTCAAGTTCGGAGAGCTGCTCGGCTTTGATATGAATCTCCTGGACATAGGTGGCGGCTTTCCCGGCAGCGATGATGACAAGTTCCAGAAGGTTGGTTCAGCTTGACCCCCGGAACCACTGGATTAATGGGTTCTAATACGAGTACTTTGCAGATTGCGGATAGTGTCAACAGCTCAGTGCAGCGCCACTTCCCCGATGATCGCGTCCAGATTATTGCCGAGCCGGGACGCTTCTTTGTGGCGGCGGCCTACACGCTGGTCTGCAAGATCCATGCCAGACGTGAGGTGCGTAACGAAGCCGGAAAGCTGGACACTATCATGTACTATCTGAATGATGGCGTCTACGGCTCCTTCAACTGCATTCTCTACGATCATCAGGTGGTGACGGCAGAGCATTATTTGGTAGCTAACCGGCGGACTCCAGCCCATTCAATGCTCAACTTTGGCTTAATTTATTTGCAGGATGAAGCCGAGGCCTTGCCCGAATTCAAGTCCGTGATTTGGGGTCCCAGTTGTGATGCCTTGGACAAGGTAGGCGTTCCCTCCTCCCTCCTCCCTCCATTGATTGAGGCTACTAAAGCTGTCAATGTATCCATTCTTTTCAGATATCGGAGGATCTGCGGCTGCCCAACCTGAACCGAGGCGATCTGCTGGGCTTCTCCAATATGGGTGCCTACACGGTGCCCATTGCCAGTCCATTTAATGGCTTCGAGCTGCCACGAACCCTGTACTTCCGGGCCATGTGACTAAAAATGCTGACAGAAATAAAGGAAACGTTTGCCCCTTCTTTTGGTATTTGTAACCATCATGGATTCTTTATTATTTCGGCTGAGAAGACATAGCTCCTCCTATGAAAAGCATCTTTCGTGCCCCCATTTCCGGTGGGGTTCTAAAATATTTTGAAGAGAACAGCTGCTGCCAAAAATACTGACCCGATTTGGTGGTATAGCGCATTCTCTTGAAAATATTTCTTCAACCGTTTCGTCAGAGGCTGGTTCTCTGTGGGTAGCCAGTCGGGAGCACCACTTGGCCACCATCCACCAGAGAGTGGCTACTGACCGAAGCCACGGACTGGCCGATGTGGAGTGGGTCCGCTCCGACTGCTGGCAAACCCTTCAAATATCAGTGTCAATGGTAATGATAGTTAACTTCTAATGGAGATTACAACTTAGTTCGAATAGACAGAATTCATATGCATGTCTGTGTATGTGTATGTGTATATAAAAGTATATATGTGTATAAAAACATTTCAAAAATTCCACTTTTGCATACACTTTGCCACTGTTCTCTTGTTCTGTTGGGTTTCCTCTGCTCTGCGCTCTCTGCGCATAAATATCAACTTGTCACATGATTTTTAAAATGTAGGTAAATTCTATAAAATGCCTATATTTTAGGTGTGTGCGAGTCATCCTGTGCGCTGTGCACTTGGGGAGCTCTTGATATGTCACGATAATAACAATATAACGATATGTGTGTGTATGTATGGGGAGGGAATGGGCGAGGAAGGGAGTTTGGGAAGCTGGAAGTTGGGAAGTTGGAAGTTGGGTGAGTGTGTCGACTGCAGTTACAATTTGCAGTTACAATTTGCCCCATGTTTTCTGGCAAATAAAGAGTACAAACTACTTATTCCATAATCAGTTCTTGGTGATTGATGCAAATGATTTTGTTTTTGTTTTTTGTATCCATTCTTTTCGCCTGATCGCCTGATCGCCTGATCGCCTTGCCTTGTGTACATTTTCCTGCCCGGCGCCCAAAGTGGGTTGCATATACATATACATAAATCTATGTAATAATAAGATATACACGCATATATGTATGTGCATGTATGTAGATATTGATATAGATTTGACAATTTCGACTAGGTTAGATTGCTTGTTAGCTGCTTTGGGGGCGGGTGCAGGTGGAGGGCAGGACGGGAACAGGAAACAGGGAACAGGAAACGAAGAAAACTTGCTTATAATGATTGTATCTCACAACACCGACGACAAAACGACGATAAACTATGCATAATAAATATGTAATATAGATATGCACACATTGATAAGTATGTACACAACACGACACAACACACAATAACATGTACATGTACATGTACATAGTGCTCGTATGCTCAAATGATCAAATGCTCAAATGTAATCGTAACAATAGTGTCCTGTCCCTTCTTGGGCGTAACAATTTTCGCTTTCTTCGGCTTTAAAATTCTATTCTGATATGTTTTTAGTTCTGACTTAGGTCTAGGCTTTATCCGTATCGATATGATATGTAAGGAGATTCTATCATCTAACTCCCTTCTCTTCTTTTCTCTTCACTCCACTCCACTCCTCTCCACTCCTCTCCACTCCTCACGGGGTGTGCGAGCTGGGAAGGCGTCGCTGTCGAGCTACTGTGCATGTGTCTCGTGTCGTAGATGTTGCAACTGTGGACTGTGGTGTCTTGTCTGTCTGTTGGGTGCATCAATTCAACAGGGTGAAGGTGGGAGGAACTGACCAGACACGGACGTGTCGCTCTGGATTGGCTGTTCTTGGTGAGGTGATGTTTTGCTGCTGGTGTGGTGGGTGGTAGGCTGCTGGACGAGCGAACGCTACGGTACGGTACGGTTCGAAAAGCGTGCTTTTTGGGTCTAATAATTGGCAGAGTTGCATAATTCACGGATTCACTATAATCTATAAGAAAATATACAATACAACAACACAGAAATGGTTTGCAGGCATACAAAAGGTATGGTATCTATGGGTATTTTGTTTTGTGGGATTTTCTATGTTCAGAATCGAATTGAACTGAACTGAACTGTATTGAATGGGGAGCCCGCAAGTGAGGACTCCCCATCAACATCTATCACCTGTGCTTGAATCTGAATCTGGATATGAAACTGACCCAAATGGAAAAGTGGTCTCCGGACCTAACTAGACTAGGGACCGATACGCTTCAGATCGGATCGGATCGGAAGCGATTAAACGCTAATGAGAAACGCCACGCTACACATGGCAATTTGGGCCAGAATGTTCACTTGCAGTATCCGCATCAGACCGCCGCTCGTGGGTGAGGGACTCACATTGAGGCCGGCGCAGTGCATCTTTTCGGTGGGCATGGCCTGCACGAAGTACTCGCGATTGTCCAGCGACATGTGGCACAGCGGCTTCTTCTTCTGCGACATTTCGTCATCCTTGTTCTTCAGGTCCTCGAGCAGCTTGGGGAACCAGGTCAATTCGCAGGAGCAGTTCAGCGGATTATCTACAATCGTTTGAGATTAGTTTACTTCGCTGCGGTGGTGCGAGGCCCATGACTTGCCCGTAATATCGATGATGCGTAGGGTATCAATGACCGGTTCCATGATGTCCTGCGGAATGCGCTGCAGCTTGTTGTTCTGCAGATTGAGGGTCTCCAGCGAATTGAGGTTCTCGAACAGCAAACTCGGCAGCACCTTGATGCTGAAATTGGAATGCAGAACGTATCGGAATCGGATAAGTAAGAGTATTCCGGGGATGTCTTGTCACGCGGCAGCTTTACTCATTCTTCTGCAGATTGAGGAACGTGAGCGAGTCGCCAAATCCGGTGAAGGCGTCATCGGCCAGGACATTAATGTTGTTGTTGCGCAAATCCAAGTGGCGCAGACGGTGTAGTGGGCGCAGGGCCTCGCTGGGAATGGCATTGATCTGGTTGTCTCCCAGGCGCAGATACTGCAGGTTCTCTGAGAACCGAAACAAAAGGACGAAAGTTCGAAAATATAGAAGACTCCAGGGGTACTGGTGGTGGAGAACCTACCCTCCAAGCCCTTGAACGCATCCTTATCGATAACGCTGATCTTGTTGCCCTCCAATTCCAGAGAGTTGAGCTGGGTCAGGTGGATGAAGACATTTGCAGGCACGGTTGTGATCATGTTGTGGGCCAGAATCAAGGAGTCCAGGTTTACCAAGCCCTCAAAGTCACCTTCACTGATGATACGGATCTTGTTCTCCTGTATCTCTAGCTTCTTCAGCGTGTCCAATATAGACAGAGACTTTTGGGGGACTCTGCTCAAGTCATTACCACCCAGATTCAGACGCTTCAATTTTCTGCAAGACCCACAGACTTTAGATGAAGAGAAACACACAATCAGGGAAGGGATGGATAATCTTACCCTTCCAGTCCGCGAAACGCCTCGGGGTCTATCTGGGTGATCTTGTTCTCATAGAGCGTCAGAATCTCCAATGTGCCTAGTCCATCGAAGGCGTTGTTGTGGATCACGGTGATTTTGTTGTGGTTCAGGTTCAAGATCAACAGGTGGTACAGATTGTGCAGCGCCTGCGATGGCACGGTTTTCATTTGATTCAGCGACACGTCCAGCTGTGTGAGTCCAGTGCCTGTAATGGAGGGAGGGACGGGACGGGACGAGGGTACGGTGCTGTGGTTATAAAATGCAGGTGCGTAGCTTTTTGAAGCACTCACCCAACGAGCTGAGGGCATTCTCCTCGATGGCCGCTAGGCTGCTGTTGTGTATGGTCAGGTGGCGAATGTCCAGGGCCAGGAAAACGAATCCCTGCAGCTTGGGCAAGTTGTTGTGGCGTAGCTTTAGGTAGAAAATAATGGGACTTTTGCCCTTGAGTGTGCCCATCGATTTGGTGATGTGCGCCAGGTCCGTTGTCTCGCAGAGTATGTCCAGGCCGTTCTTCTTCACCGTGCAGATGCAGGGCGAAATGTCGCCCTGCTCCGGGCACACCTGCTGCTGAGGTGTGTTCTGGGACCCCGCCTGGCCCACGGCCACCACCGCCGCCAGCATCAGCAACAATGCTGCGTGGCTGGAGTGCAACTGTAGCTGCTTCAACTGGATCATGATGAACATCGACTGGTGGATCCCGTTGTCGACCTGGATGACGGTTTTTGTGCTTTCTCTTAGGAAAAAACCGTTCTCAAGGTGCCGTCTCTGAACTTTCCCGTAGATGCTGTGGATATTGTGGATGTTGTGGATGCTGTGGATGCTGTCTGTGCCTGCAGTAGGTGCTGATGATGATATTTACAGTGGCTATTGCTGTATTCCTGTCGAGAAGAATGGTCGATGGTGGAGAGTGGACAGTGGGGAGAGAGGAGAGCGGAGAATGTGGGTGAGTGCTTGTACGGGTACATTCATTGAAATCCGGCACGGCACCAAATGAAAGCGGCAGCAACAACAACAGCGAAACGCAAATTAAGCGCACAATGCGCGATTTTATTTAGGTTGTGGAATCGTGGATTCGTGGATTAAATATAAATTGCCCGCAATTGAGCCTTACGTATGTACGTACATACATATGTACATGTGTACGTACAGTGGGATCGCTCCTATTGTTGCCTGCGGTGCCTGGTTACGCTCGCTGTGGAAGTGGTGGCTCTCACCTAAATGGTTTGTCCGTCCGCTGACAAGTGCCAACTGAAACATGCTTCCAGTGCCGCCAAGATGCAACAAATTCGCTCACGCTAAGCTCTGGCTCAGCTCTTGGGGGAATCGCGTTGAAATGCCAACAGATTAGCTCTGCCTCTGGGTCTGTTGCCTCCTCTGCTTGCTGCCGCCGCGCATCAACTTAAGGAGGGGCTTGGGGCGTGTGCGTAATGGCTGGGTGCGAACTCGGTCAAATGTGTGTGTATAACGATGTAACGGAAAATCGATACTGCCGCAAAGAGGTTGTTGAATGGCACAAACCAAACCGTTTTGTTGTCTTCTCTTCCCTCCTCGACACACACCCGAACGCGAGAGCCACACACACGCACACACACACACACACACGACTGAAGAGGATAACGGAGGCACGAGTATTGGTATTTGTTTGTAATTGTTGCTTCTGACTAATTCAACAGTCCGTACATATAAATTATAGGGGATGCTATAACTGTTCCTTGAATGTCCTATGTCGTATCCTCCTCAACTTGCGTTACACGCAAACACCACACGGAGCAGGGATCGCCAGCAAAAGCCAGTGGGCTATCAGTGATGTGATTATTCAATCCATGTGCTGAGTGTGTTTTCACTTTAATTCCTGTTGCATTATCTTTGGAATGGAATGGGTTGAATTGTAAGAGCAGCAGCAGCAGCAGATTCGGAAAATAAATAGAAGTCTATTTTACTAGAATATGAAGCACGTTTGGTTGGCAGAACCGACGATTGCGGACTGAGGACTAAAACTGGGGGACCATTTACCGTTCAGGGGGTTGATTTCATTTCAGAGCTTCCCAAAGCTTATTTGGAGCTTCTCCACTCGCTAAATTTAAACAGTGCTTGTGCTTACATATTTAGTTCTTGGGATCCAAATTAAAACCTACCAAAGCCACAGCTTTTTTCAAGTCCATGAATAGCGTTATGTTGGTTGATAAGATTTAGAAATCGATCCATTTTTTGTCGGTAACATAAAAACACATCAGTTTGAGTTCAAAATCCAACTGATGTTTCCCTCTTCTTTTATTGCAGCCAAGTGTGTGAATAATGTGGCCGATAGATGGGTCTGCTGCTCAAGTTTTATTACAGTGCTGGAAAGTGAGCACTTTAGGTTTGCTTCCTCACAAAATAGACAGTGGCGCCACTAAAATGTTATGTTTGCAACGCCACTGGGCGGCAATAAATGGAACCTTACCTAGGCAGAGGTTTATCTTCTTCTTCTTCATTTTTGACGAGTTTTTTTGGCCTGTTATGTTAAGTTTTCGAACTTATGTTATGTTAAGTTTTCGAACTTATGTTATGTTAAGTTTTCGAACTTATGTTATGTTAAGTTTTCGAACTTATGTTATGTTACGTTTTCGAACTTATGTTATGGGCAAAAATCACAAAATATCATGGTATGGCAGCCCGCAGAAACTACGAATTGCACGAGTCTGGCAGCGCCACAAAACGACGACAAAGGACGAATTGGCGAAGAAGAGTGCGCGCGCGGATGTGTCACTGGCCGAGGAACCGGCCGGGGAACCTTGTGCCGCGAATCCTCGGGTATACGCTGGGCCGCAACGAATGGAGCGTCATCTTGTCATCGTCCTCGTCCAGGCCGTACTTGGAGAAGTGCTTCACACAAAACACCCAACTGCCGGTCTCTGGGCGATACTCGACGAAGCGCGTATCGTTTGCATAGCAGGCGCAACGCAGATGTCCCTCCCAATTCATTTCGATCAGACGCTGCGCATCCTTCACAACAGGCACAGACTGGGTCTGGGTCTGGGTCTTGTCCACGGGCCATACCTGCTCGAGGGTGACTTGTGCCTCACGATTCAGGCCTTGGTTGATAGGCGGCCTCTTCTCATCGTCAGGATAAATGATGATCCCCTTGTTACGGAAGTAAACTGCAGAGAGAGAGCGAGAATAGTTCTTGGCGGATGATGCTTGTCTGGCCTGGCTCCTCCCCAATCACTTACCAATCTCATCCAGATTCAGTCCAGCCACGTCCATTTCCATGGCAAAGAACACAGTGCCATAGCCCTCGCGTCCATATACAGACATATAAAGTTAAAAAAAAAACAAAACAGAAAACCAAGAATAATAAGGAATGGAATGGAATATAATGGAATGGAATGGTAGCTTGCCATCTCTAGTTAATAAAATAAAAAAATATCTAAAAAATGGATGCAAATGCAACAATTACAGGCGATGTCGATAAAACGCAGGTAACAGGACACATTCTGGCATCCATCTAACACTTGATTTATTGCAGATACCGCCTCTTAACCAAAAGCGGATACTGGCATTTGTCGCACTGCGACATCGAAATATTTGACAATCCCTCTTTTAAATTACGTATATTACCAAAAAAAATAAATACTTATTCAAGATTAAAGATTTAAATTTTTAACATATCTCGCTCCGCTCTGTTAAAATAGCAGCAGTTCACATTTTAACAGAGCGGAGCGAAGTATCGTATAGTATCGTATCGTATCGTATGGTAGTCAAGGTATCGAGTAGTCAAGGTAGTCGAGGTATCGACATCGACACATTTCATATCATATGAATGGATATCCAACCGATCAACTGCTTTAATCTAAACTGGTAAATATACATCTAATTTACTTTGTGTTGTGTTTATATGTGTATTTGTGTATTCGTACAAAGGTATACAATACACATTATATATACATATAATGTGTTGTGTATATGCACATACGATACACCGCTTTTTTTTTTAAGTGTACGAAATATGCAGTGTACAGAGCATAGCACACACATAGTATAGTACACAAGCTATGTAGCATATGCATAATACATAATTATATTAATTTTATTATTTTCTTTTCAGATATGGATCCAAACAGGCCAAACAGGAAGGGACAAGGCGCTATGCGAGCCCGAGATTTTCGGCGCGCCTTTATGCAGAGTGTGTCAACAGGCATGGAGCTGTCACGGGCGCACGCCATGCAGCAGGAGTTGCTCCTGCAGATGATGCCTGGACGTGGACGTGGAGGACGTGGAGGACGTAGAGGACGTGGAGGACGTGGCGGTGCTGTCGCTGAAGAACCTGCTGTCGCAGAACCACAGGAAGACCGCGATATCGACAATCTGATCGATTTCGACGACGAAGTAGAAATTGTGGTCGTGGAAACCGACGGAGAGCAAAATTGACTAATAAAATTTAAAAAAAAATATAAAACTAAACATTGTATATTGTTTTTATTTATAATTTTTCAAATATAGCGCACATATGTGTGTATATGTATATGTATATTTTTACCGTTACGGCATGTATGTACATATAGCGCACATATGTGTGTATATGTATATGTATATTTTTACCGTTACGGCATGTATGTACATATGCATTCTCGGCGAAAATATACTGAATACAATACTGAAAATATATATATATGGAAAATATACTGAAAAATGAAGAACACAGAATACGGGAAATATTATTATTATTATTCAATTATTATTAATTCATTTCCAGCAATTTCATAAAAACTCCTGCAAATTGCAACAAAAATATTGGAGCTCTTGTTATGTTATTCAGTTCTGGTACGTGGCCGGCTGCTAATGAAACAATTTCGCTCTGGAGGCATCGAAGGAACGTCTCCAGGTCATCATTGTTTGTATTGTGCAGACTGAGATCGTCTGACGGGCATAAATCGAAAAATTTCCCTAACATTAATCTTAAATTCCTAAGCTCCCGCTCCTTATACTCCCAATGGGGCGACAACGCTGCAGCTGCATCTGCAGCGTCCATCTCCGACTGCCACGAACTTTTCTTGTATATTGTTTGCCTGTATAACCTACGTAATATTTTGTTCGCGCACTTGTAATTGGTCGACAACGTTATATCCAAGTGCGTGTAATCAATCGGTAAGTACAGGAATGTGGGCGTAATGGTATGCGTACTGAGCCGCCACTTCATTAGCTGGACAGCCGTCGCATATTACCGCCAATATTTTTTTTTGGATACTCTCTCCATTCACTCGTATGCCACCAATGCGGGTCAGCACACGTTGAACATGATCCTTAATTTTCTTGCTGCCCATGCTGACTTCTTCTGTGACTGCCTGTTAATTAAAAATATTCTTTTTAAAGGAGCTATTATCACTTTTTATTATTTATCACTTACCACCGCAATGTGAAGCACCGCAAACCTGCTGTTCAGCTCAGCAGTTTGGGCCGCAATCACCAACATTTTTATTTTTGAAGATATTCCGTCCTGTTTTGAGTTAAAAAATTCTCAGCAATTTATTTTAAATAATTTAAATAAATACTTACATTTGGTGCGAACTGTCTGAGGTGCATTTCGTCAAATGTGAGGAAGAATTGTGAGAAAGACCGTAATACATCTACGCTTTCCACAATTAAACGTTCATTAATATGCCCCTGCTCGGAATTGGCAAAGTTAATGGCAGAATCTATATTTTGCAGCTCGAACCGTTCACTGGCTTCAAAATAATTCCGGATAGTTTCCATGCTTGTTGCGTTTCGTTTTCAATGTTTACTTTTGAGCAAGTAACTAACTGTGAATTTGTTTTTTTTTTTTAAGTCTGGCAATACCAATAATGCAGTATATACAACATATACTGAATACCGAATACCGAATTTTCGGTATATATTCCGATATGAGTACAAGTGTACGTGTGTGTACAAGTGTACGTGTTGTGTGACAAGTGTGAAATTGGCCGTCGATAGACGTAAAATAAACTGAGTAAGTATGAGGAAAACTCAGAATATGTTCGAGCCAACGGAATCAATTCCGGTGGCTCAAGCTCGCTTAGCTCGCTCACGTGCGCACCAACAGCTGGTGGACGCTACTGATCGTGGAGCACCTGAAAAAGAGCTCGGAGCTCTTTTAGTCGTTCGCGACGAAGCGAGCCTCCACCTGTCCATTTTGATGGATCAGGAGGCACGCCGTTCGAGTGTGCCTAGCACGAGCATAAGTTCGGATCCTCAGAACTTATCCCTTCGCTACTTCAATCAGAATAGCATAAGTTCGGATCCTCAGAACCTTCCCAGTGCCTCAGCTCAGAATAGCACAAGTGCCTCAGCTGAGACGAGCAGCTCTGTCTTAGCTGAGAATAGCACAAGTGCCTCAGTTGAGACTAGGTACGAATACCAAGCAAAATGCGCTGGTGAAATTCCCAGCGACGATATTCCCAGCACCAGCACTGGAATACGTTCTGGGCTTGAACGGGGAGTGGGCGAGGACGTTGAGTTTTTAGCTCCATGTTCCAGCTCCACTCTGCTCCCTGTTCAGTTTAAGCCGGGTGCAGTGAAAACTCCCCGGGTTAAAACCACATTTAAACCCATGAAAGGGAAGCACGAGAAAAATTTCTCATTCGAAGTGAACTCCAGTTCACTTCCGGGGCTTCCCCCATTAAAGTTGAAGCAATCGCGACCTAAAAGGTACGAGCAAATTCGGTACCCACCAATGCGATATTTCGACCACAATAGTCCACCCCTGCAGCCCGATAATCGTATGCCGGGGGAATGCGTCTCCTTTATAGACGGCATCCCCTGGTGGAGAGTGCCCAAAGGCTGTTGGGCACCTCCAGGATTTAAAATGGCGCAGGGCTTACGACATGCATGTATTATTTGTGGAGTAAGCCACAAGATTTCCACGGAGAAGCGAAAACAGCACTTCAAAGTGTGCATTGTCACTCCGAAAAAATACATTTGCCTGCAATGTGGCTATTGTGGAAAATTCAGGAGACATCACAAGTGCAATAAGGCTTTGATGCGTCAAAGAAAAATGCAGTTCCTAGATGGCAATCCGATGGGACTAATTGAAATAGTCCCATTTCAATTGGCATGCACTTTAGAGCAAATGCAAATGCTCGATGAACCACCACCGGAGGATGAGGAAGCACCTTTTGAGGTGGAACCACCAGAGCCTCCCGAAGAACCACCAGAGCCTCCCGAAGAACCACCAGAGCCTCCCGAAACTTCTCAAGAAGATCTTGAGATTGAAACGGAAATGGATAGGCTGTTTGGACAAGACTGAATAGTTTTAAAAATATTAAAATGTAAAAATTCTTGAATTCAATTCATGAATTTAAACGACCGGTTGGTCGATAAAATGCAAATATTAAAATGTAAAAATTCTTGAAGAAATTCATGAATTTAAACGACCGGTTGGTCGACAGCCTGTATGATTAACCATCTTTTTCCTTAATTGGAAAAAGTAAAGATCGCTGATGAGGAAGATGTGGTATCTTCCGAAACAGGAAACACGAAATATATTATATTTTAAACTTATTTTTTTCAGCTTCTTCCTGTGGGGCATATATCCGAATATTGCGGGCGAAGCGAGCTACATCACGCACATCATCACGCCGCAGCAACAGGGCACGCCCGACAGTTGCAACACTATGCACGAAGAGCAGATATTCGATGTGCAGGATCAGATGCAGCTCATCACGCTCGGCTGGATCCATATGTGTAGCCTCTACTGTGTAGTCTCTATTCGATTCTCTGATTTTCGGTTCCCTTACAGACTCATCCCAGCCAGACCGCTTTCCTGTCCTCCGTGGACTTGCACACGCACTGTTCCTACCAGATGATGATGCCGGAGGCCCTGGCCATCGTGTGTGCGCCCAAATACAACACGTGAGTCATCGCTGACTCATCGGGGAAAACATTTCTTATCTATTCTTTCGTTTCACGCTCAGCACTGGTTTCTTTATACTCACGCCCCACTACGCTTGGCAATGGCGCTGGTTTGCGACTTATCCGTATCCTGCCGATGTTGGTCTCTGCTGTCCCTGGAAGAGAAACGGCCGCTGCTGCTACTGCTCGCCGTCTCTGTGGGACTGTCGGACTTTTGGTGGGGACGTCCCAAAGCCGCTTGGAGCCTTTGGGGACCGTTGCTGTTCACCGAAGATTTGGAGTTTGGGATATCGGCGGCCTTGTCCTTTTTTTCTCTGTCTTGTTTTCCTGTTGGTGAACCAGGTATAGAACCTATCACACCACTTTTCCTCTTGCTCCAGCGGAAAAACCCTTCGCATGTTGCCTTCTAAATATCTGGCGTCTCCCAGCGTCATGCGAATGTTATTATGTACAAAGTACTCTCCCACAAGCGTTACGAGCTTCCTCTGTTGCGTCGCTTTGAGCTTTACGTTTTTGTGCTTCTTTTTTAGCAGCACATGGCCCGCATTTCCACTGTTTAGGAGGATGCCGTACACGTTTATAACCGTAGTCACTGTGGACGGGCATGATGCGGCGTCCTGTTGCGAAATGTGTTCGGACTCATCCGAATCTCCACTGCTCGACGTCACATCGAAGTCGTCGTCGCTACTTACATTCTTGACACCGGAACGTAATCATGGTCATGCTCAACATGGTCGTTACCTGTGGCGGCGGCCTGGTCATCCAACCAAGACTTAACGTATCTCCTTTTACTCATTATTACAGCTGTTGGTGCGTCGCGTCCACACACACACACGTATATGCTCAAAATGGGATGCCCGGCTGTTGCTACAGGTAAGGTATTTACTGGTATTATATCGTTACTAACTAAGTTAACGGTACGTAGTTACTGCACGGTAAGTAGTTAGTACCGTTAGTTTAGGCGTTTAAGCGAGTTTAAGTGAGAGAGTTTAAGCCGATTTGGCGCGCGTCCGCGAACGCACACACACATACACACACGTAACTATGCTAATGTGTCGGTCTGTTGCTCCACTTAAGGTAAGGTAACTACTGTTACTAGATACTTACTAACTAAGTTAACGTTACGTTACGTAGTTTCTTTACGTAGTAAGTTTCAGCGTTTAAGCTAGTTTAAGCGCTTTGGCGCGCCGCGTCATCACACACACACAACACATATCATAACGGATCTATTTCTCATGGTGTTGGTAAATAAATAAAGAAAACAAATGCAAAGAAGGAAACAAACAATAGAATATGTATATATATGTATAATTTTTATAGAAATTATCAGTCAATAATAAATATTTATATTTATATTATTTATTTCTTTTGGAAATTTAATCAATCAGCATGTTAGCAACATCATGTTGTTAGTTGTTAGTAATAATAGTAGCTTTTCTGTTTTGCCGTCGGCAAAAGAAAGTATCAATAATATACATTTTTGTATTTATTAAATATGAATTAAAGCTCCCCGCTGTGTGACCGTGCGGCGCAATCCCAAAATACCAAGAATTCAATAAAGTACCGTATGCCGTAAACTAAACCAAACTAACTGAAAGCATGAGCCTCCCTGAAAAATTAGCTTCAAGCTACACTGTTCTTTGATAATATTAATTGCATGCTAATTCCGTTTTTTATTATACCCGTACTAAAAAAAGAGTTAAGGGGTATATTAGATTTGTGGTAAAAGTGGATGTGTGTAACGCAGAGAAGGAAACGTTTCCGACCCCATAAAGTATATATATTCTTGATCAGCATCAATAACCGAGTCGATATAGCCATGTCTGTCTGTTCGTCCGTCCGTCCATCTGTCCGTCTTGATGAGCGCCTTGATCTCCGAGACTATAAGAGCTAGAGAAACCAAATTTGGTTTCCAGACTCATGTGATATCACACTGCTACAAGTGTATTTCAAAATTTCGCCCCGCCCCCTTCCGCCCATACAAAGAACGAAAATCTGTGGAAGGCACATTTTTAAAGATACGATAAAACTAAAAACGCATTATCGTAGAGAATGCCCATATCTACCAGACTGCCGAATCTGAATCAGATCGGATCATAATTATAGCCAGAATGAAGAAATTAATTTTCAGTCGCTTCCCCTGCCCCCTCCTGACAACGACAACGCAACTCATTTTCCTTCTCGCTCGCACACTCTGCCGCGTTCAGTGCGCGAGCAACCCCTAGCGGAGGAGATGTAGAATCTAAATGGTACATGTATAATCTACATGTTAGATGTAGAATATACATAATATATGTAGATGTAGATAACAGATGTAGCAAAAAAATGTAAAATGTAAAATTTTTTTTTTTAATTCTAAAATTCTTAAAAATCATAAGCTCAAAAATGTATATACTGACTGAGTACGGGTATAAGTAGAGTCGCGTCCCCAGAAGCGACTCACACGTTCCTTCTCGTTTTTTTGGTAATTATGTAGGTTTATGTGAACAATTATCACACACAATAAAGTACAATTTTCAAGTTTCACATCGATTGGCTGGGACGTATTGTCAACGCTAGCTTTAGGCATATCGTGCGTGAAACGGCTGTACAGCGTTGGCCCTAGCACGCTGTCTTGCGGGACTCCGGCTTCAATCCCCTTCACCGTGGAAACTGCTCCGCTCTGTGCGACTTGGAACGTTCTGTCCTTTAGGAAGCTTCCAATAATCAGGAACAGCTTGGGGTTTATCAGGGCTTTTATTTTCGCAAGTAATCCGTCGTGCCAAACTCTGTCGAATGCTTACTGGATGTCCAGGGACGCTGCTACGACGTACTGCTTCTTATGGAAGCCATCCAGGATATGATCCACCACCCTATGCAGCTGCTCCGGAGTACTGTGCCGCAGCCTGAAACCACATTGGTGGTTAGGGACAGCTTGATTAACTGATGGGCTGTCCAGTAATCTGCGAAGAATCCAGCTTCCCAAAAGTGGGGATGCTAATTGCTCAATCGGCCCATTAGCATCATTAATATGTTTTCGCTTCACCTACTCGTATTGGTTTGATTTAAATAGCGTGAAGATGAATAGACATAATGTGGTTATAAGCACATATACAGAGCTGAAATTCGTTGGTAGTTCCATTTAGATCGTTCACGTTTAAAGATGTCCCCCAAATTAAGTGTTCTTGTTCTACTCATTGTGGTTTTATATTTGACCATTGAGGTTTGTAAAACTTCCTTGATGAACGGGCTAATATAATACCTCCAAACCATATCGCAGATCGCTTCGAAGGTCGAGTTTACCAACATTGTATGTACTTCCCTCGATAAAGAGTTTTCCGACTTTGAGTACTGCTATCTGAAGTCGGTGAATCGGACCTACAAATACGTGTCTGCTAAATGTAACTTGTATAAAACACCGATAACGAAAGTGAAGGTAAGTGCCACACACTGTAAGTTATACTTATTAATTCCACTCTGAAATCTCAGGTAAATTTTTCACTGTATAAACGATTCAATGGTTATAGGCCTTTTATGTACAACATCACTGTGGATGCCTGTAGATTCCTGAAGAATCCCAAATCGAACCCAGTTACATTGTTCTTTTTTAGCTCATTTGCTGAATTCTCAAATTTTAACCATTCGTGTCCCTTCAATGTAAGTTAATCCATTGTGGACGTATCCAACAATTTGAAAATATTTTTTTTTTCAGGGGGCACTTTTTCTGGAAAAGTTATCAAAAAAGTTATTGCCGAATATGAATTAGATCGGATCATAATTATAGCCAAAATGAAGAAATTTTCAGTTGCTTCCCCCACGGTTACTATAATGTTACAAATATATGTACATATGTGCAATATATGATGTTTTAAAAAAAAAATCACACTAAGGTCATGCTTCGTCGTTTTTGCAACGCAACTTTTCAAAAACCGTAGTTACAGGTGATCGATGGACTTGTAAGGTCGGCACACTGCAGCAGTTCATCAATGGCCTGAGCTGTAAAAAAAGAGTAGCAATAAATGGCAGAGGAAAACGTCGAATCAACGAAGCATGACCATATAGGGTTAATTGCAAACTAATTGTTTATTTGTCATCATTAATTGTACATAAAAAAAAATGCGAGCATTAATTAATTAATTAAGTGGAAAATTTTCCACTGACTAAAAAAATTGCATTAAGATGAATCGATCAAATATGCGAATTTAACTGGAATGTGCCAAAACAGTTGCTGTTAGGTCATCGACGTTTTAACATGTCCCACGCAGGAGGTGTCCTTTTTCTGCTGATTGTGGTTTCATATGAGGTTGGTATATCCATTCTTAATCACTGCGATATATTCTAAAACCTCGTTAAAATATGGCAGGTCGCTTCGAAGGTCGAGTTTACCAACATTGTATGTACTTCCCTCGATAAAGAGTTTTCCGACTTTGAGTACTGCTATCTGAAGTCGGTGAATCGGACCTACAAATATGTGTCTGTTAAAAGTAACTTGTACCAAACACCGGTAAAGAAAGTGAAAGTAAGTGCCACACACTGCAAGTTATACTTATTAATTCCACTCTGAAATCTCAGGTAAATTTTTCACTGTATAAACGATTCAATGGTTATAGGCCTTTTATGTACAACATCACTGTGGATGCCTGTAGATTCCTGAAGAATCCCAAATCGAACCCAGTTACATTGTTCTTTTTTAGCTCATTTGCTGAATTCTCAAATTTGAACCATTCGTGTCCCTTCAATGTAAGTTTATCCATTGTGGACGTATCAAACAATTTGAAAATATTTTTTTTCCAGGGGGCACTTTTTGTGGAAAAATTATCAACCGAGTTTATAAATCACCAAACTACTAAAGTGCTGCCATTTCCGGAAGGGGATTATATGGTAGAATTAAATTGGCTTGCCTACGACATCAATCGGTCTGTGATCAAATTTTATTATACTCTTTCTTGACTTATGTATTTGTCAGATATATGAATGTATAAAATGCCTTTGAATTGTTTGATAAAATTCGATAATAAAGTTTTGTTCATCTAAATGGTACATGTATAATCTACATGTTAGATGTATAATATACATAATATATGTAGATGTAGATAACAGATGTAGCAAAAAAATGTAAAATGTAAAATTTTTTTTTTTAATTCTAAAATTCTTAAAAATCATAAGCTCAAAAATGTATATACTGACTGAGTACGGGTATAAGTAGAGTCGCGTCCCCAGAAGCGACTCACACGTTCTTTCTCGTTTTTTTGGTAATTATGTAGGTTTATGTGAACAATTATCACACACAATAAAGTACAATTTTCAAGTTTCACATCGATTGGCTGGGACGTATTGTCAACGCTAGCTTTAGGCATATCGTGCGTGAAACGGCTGTACAGCGTTGGCCCTAGCACGCTGTCTTGCGGGACTCCGGCTTCAATCCCCTTCACCGTGGAAACTGCTCCGCTCTGTGCGACTTGGAACGTTCTGTCCTTTAGGAAGCTTCCAATAATCAGGAACAGCTTGGGGTTTATCAGGGCTTTTATTTTCGCAAGTAATCCGTCGTGCCAAACTCTGTCGAATGCTTACTGGATGTCCAGGGACGCTGCTACGACGTACTGCTTCTTATGGAAGCTATCCAGGATATGATCCACCACCCTATGCAGCTGCTCCGGAGTACTGTGCCGCAGCCTGAAACCACATTGGTGATTAGGGACAGCTTGATTAACTGATGGACTGTCCAGTAATCTGCGAAGAATGCAGCTTCCAAAAGTGGGGAAGCTAATTGCTCAATCGGCTCATTGGCATCATTAATATGTTTACGCTTCACCTACTCGTATTGGTTTGATTTAAATAGCGTGAAGATGAATAGACATAATGTGGTTATAAGCACTATATACAGAGCTGAAATTCGTTGGTAGTTCCATTTAGATCGTTCACGTTTAAAGATGTCCCCCAAATTAAGTGTTCTTGTCCTACTCATTGTGGTTTCATATTTGACCATTGAGGTTTGTAAAACTTCCTTTATGAACGGGCTAATATAAATATAATACCTCCAAACCATATCGCAGATCGCTTCGAAGGTCGAGTTTACCAACATTGTATGTACTTCCCTCGATAAAGAGTTTTCCGACTTTGAGTACTGCTATCTGAAGTCGGTGAATCGGACCTACAAATACGTGTCTGCTAAATGTAACTTGTACCAAACACCGGTAAAGAAAGTGAAAGTAAGTGCCACACACTGCAATTTATACTTATTAATTCCACTCTGAAATCTCAGGTAAATTTTTCACTGTATAAACGATTCAATGGTTATAGGCCTTTTATGTACAACATCACTGTGGATGCCTGTAGATTCCTGAAGAATCCCAAATCGAACCCAGTTACATTGTTCTTTTTTAGCTCATTTGCTTCATTCTCAAATTTGAACCATTCGTGTCCCTTCAGTGTAAGTTAATCCATTGTGGACGTATCCAACAATTTGGAAATATTTTTTTTTCCAGGGCGCACTTTTTGTGGAAAAATTATCAACCGAGTTTATAAATCACCAAGCTACTAAAGTGCTGCCATTTCCGGAAGGGGATTATATGATAGAATTTAATTGGATCGCCTACGACATCAATCGGGCTGTGGTCAAATTATATTTAACTCTTTCTTGACTTATGAATTTTTCAGATATATGTACATATGTGCTATACATATATATATATTAAAATGGAGAGATAAAAATGTATAGTAGTGCATCATCACGTGAGAAAGGCTGGACAGATTTGGTTTCAATTTATATTCAGTTATTCCTATTTGCCAAAAGAATCTTTCTACGAAAGAAAATGTTGGGAAAACCAACCTTCGATCGCGAAAAAAGGGATTTTATATCTTTTTATCTTATGGAAGTAGGCGAAGGGGCAATTGTCGTCATAGTTGAAGATTAGTTCTAAACTCGAGATATTATTCATCAATTGAGTTATAATATTCCTGCTATTAGACGATCAAACCTTGGAAGACGTACATAAAATACGTGAAATAAGTAATCGGAATGTCTCTATTAATCTAACGCAAGAGGAACGTGCAGAATAAATTAATTACACTAGTCAACACGATTTTTCCTCAAGGAACAAAACGAACTTTTTCTTAAAGATTTGGGGCTTAGAAATGGTTTGATGATCTTTTTTTTTTCTATGGCAGAACTTTTTTTTAAAGAATTTTGGAAAACTGGTATTTTTTTAAGATTTTTTCAGAGGTAGCGCTTGTTTCCTTCACATAACTCTAGTATCTAACGTCTGGTTGTAAAGAACTTTGCTATTTTGAAAAGATAATTAAAACAGCTAGAAGTTAAGCCCAAACTCTTTGTGATTTCAGCTTACCGTCTGGGAAATATAAAGCATTGAAATGTAAAAATGATGATTTTTTTTAAACTCCAAAGTCTCTCCATAGATTTTAATGAGCGATACCTTAAACGACGCCAAATTAATGCACTTATATACAAAAAAAATAGAGGACACAGGACCTGTTCAATAACACAGGTTCTTCGCTGCGTTGATATCGGTTCATTGTCTGTCGTATGCCAGCATTGCAATGCATTGAAATTTCAATAGGAAGTCCCCGGTATATGTATGCTGCGCCATTGTATTTGAACTATTTATACCCATACTCAAAAAGAGTTAAGGGGTATATTGTATATGTGGTAAAAGTGGATCTGTGTAACGCAGAGAAGGAAACGTTTCCAACCCCATAAATTATATATACTCTTGATCAGCATCAATAGCCGAGTCGATATAGCCATGTCCGTCTGTCCATCTGTCCGTCTTGATGAGCGCCTAGATCTCAGAGACTATAAGAGCTAGAGAAACCAAATTTGGTTTCCAGACTCATGTGATATCGCACTGCTACAAGTGTATTTTAAAATTTCGGCCCGCCCCCTTCCGCCATAACAAAGGACGAAAATCTGTAGCAGGCACAATTTTAAAGATACGATAAAACTAAAAACGCAGTATCGTAGAGAATGACCACATCTACCAGATTGCCGAATCTGAATTAGATCGGATCATAATTATAGCCAGAATGAAGAAATTTTCAGTTGCTTCCCCCAAGGTTACTATAATGTTACAAATATATGTACATATGTGCAATATATGATGTTTTAAAAAAAAAATCACACTAAGGTCATGCTTCGTCGTTTTTGCAACGCAACTTTTCAAAAACCGTAGTTACAGGTGATCGATGGACTTGTAAGGTCGGCACACTGCAGCAGTTCATCAATGGCCTGAGCTGTAAAAAAAGAGTAGCAATAAATGGCAGAGGAAAACGTCGAATCAACGAAGCATGACCATATAGGGTTAATTGCAAACTAATTGTTTATTTGTCATCATTAATTGTACATAAAAAAAAATGCGAGCATTCATTTTCCACTGACTAAAAAAATTGCATTAAGATGAATCGATCAAATATGCGAATTTAACTGGAATGTGCCAAAACAGTTGCTGTTAGGTCATCGACGTTTAAACATGTCCCACGCAGGAGGTGTCCTTTTTCTGCTCATTGTGGTTTCATATGAGGTTGGTATATCCATTCTTAATCACTGCGATATATTCTAAAACCTCGTTAAAATATGGCAGGTCGCTTCGAAGGTCGAGTTTACCAACATTGTATGTACTTCCTCGATAAAGAGTTTTCCGAGTTTGAGTACTGCTATCTGAAGTCGGTGAATCGGACCTACAAATATGTGTCTGTTAAAAGTAACTTGTACCAAACACCGGTAAAGAAAGTGAAAGTAAGTGCCACACACTGCAAGTTATACTTATTAATTCCACTCTGAAATCTCAGGTAAATTTTTCACTGTATAAACGATTCAATGGTTATAGGCCTTTTATGTACAACATCACTGTGGATGCCTGTAGATTCCTGAAGAATCCCAAATCGAACCCAGTTACATTGTTCTTTTTTAGCTCATTTGCTGAATTCTCAAATTTGAACCATTCGTGTCCCTTCAATGTAAGTTTATCCATTGTGGACGTATCAAACAATTTGAAAATATTTTTTTTCCAGGGGGCACTTTTTGTGGAAAAATTATCAACCGAGTTTATAAATCACCAAACTACTAAAGTGCTGCCATTTCCGGAAGGGGATTATATGGTAGAATTAAATTGGCTTGCCTACGACATCAATCGGTCTGTGATCAAATTTTATTATACTCTTTCTTGACTTATGTATTTGTCAGATATATGAATGTATAAAATGCCTTTGAATTGTTTGATAAAATTCGATAATAAAGTTTTGTTCATCTAAATGGTACATGTATAATCTACATGTTAGATGTATAATATACATAATATATGTAGATGTAGATAACAGATGTAGCAAAAAAAATGTAAAATGTAAAATTTTTTTTTTTAATTCTAAAATTCTTAAAAATCATAAGCTCAAAAATGTATATACTGACTGAGTACGGGATAGTAGTCGCGTCCCCAGAAGCGACTCACACGTTCTTTCTCGTTTTTTTGGTAATTATGTAGGTTTATGTGAACAATTATCACACACAATAAAGTACAATTTTCAAGTTTCACATCGATTGGCTGGGACGTATTGTCAACGCTAGCTTTAGGCATATCGTGCGTGAAACGGCTGTACAGCGTTGGCCCTAGCACGCTGTCTTGCGGGACTCCGGCTTCAATCCCCTTCACCGTGGAAACTGCTCCGCTCTGTGCGACTTGAAACGATCTGTCCTCTAGGAATAATCCAATAATCAGGAACAGCTTGGGGTTTATCAGGGGTTTTATCTTCGCAAGTCGTGCCAAACTCTGTCGAATGCTTGCTGGATGTCCAGGATATGATCCACCACCCTATGCAGCTGCTCCGGAGTACTGTGCCGCAGCCTGAAACCACATTGGTGATTAGGGACAGCTTGATTAACTGATGGACTGTCCAGTAATCTGCGAAGAATGCAGCTTCCCAAAAGTGGGGAAGCTAATTGCTCAATCGGCTCATTGGCATCATTAATATGTTTACGCTTCACCTACTCGTATTGGTTTGATTTAAATAGCGTGAAGATGAATAGACATAATGTGGTTATAAGCACTATATACAGAGCTGAAATTCGTTGGTAGTTCCATTTAGATCGTTCACGTTTAAAGATGTCCCCCAAATTAAGTGTTCTTGTCCTACTCATTGTGGTTTCATATTTGACCATTGAGGTTTGTAAAACTTCCTTTATGAACGGGCTAATATAAATATAATACCTCCAAACCATATCGCAGATCGCTTCGAAGGTCGAGTTTACCAACATTGTATGTACTTCCCTCGATAAAGAGTTTTCCGACTTTGAGTACTGCTATCTGAAGTCGGTGAATCGGACCTACAAATACGTGTCTGCTAAATGTAACTTGTACCAAACACCGGTAAAGAAAGTGAAAGTAAGTGCCACACACTGCAATTTATACTTATTAATTCCACTCTGAAATCTCAGGTAAATTTTTCACTGTATAAACGATTCAATGGTTATAGGCCTTTTATGTACAACATCACTGTGGATGCCTGTAGATTCCTGAAGAATCCCAAATCGAACCCAGTTACATTGTTCTTTTTTAGCTCATTTGCTTCATTCTCAAATTTGAACCATTCGTGTCCCTTCAGTGTAAGTTAATCCATTGTGGACGTATCCAACAATTTGGAAATGTTTTTTTTTCCAGGGCGCACTTTTTGTGGAAAAATTATCAACCGAGTTTATAAATCACCAAGCTACTAAAGTGCTGCCATTTCCGGAAGGGGATTATATGATAGAATTTAATTGGATCGCCTACGACATCAATCGGGCTGTGGTCAAATTATATTTAACTCTTTCTTGACTTATGAATTTTTCAGATATATGTACATATGTACTATACATACATATATATTAAAATGGAGAGATACAAATGTATAGTAGTGCATCATCACGTGAGAACGACTGGGCAGATTTGGTTTAAATTTATATTCAGTTGTTCCTATTTGCCAAAAGAATCTTTTTACGAAAGAAAATGTTGGGAAAACCAACCTTCGATCGCGAAAAAAGGGATTTTATATCTGTTTATCTTATGGAAGTAGGCGAAGGGGCAATTGTCATAGTTGAAGATTAGTTCTAAACTCGAGATATTATTCATCAATTGAGTTATAATATTCCTGCTATTAGACGATCAAACCTTGGAAGACGTACATAAAATACGTGAAATAAGTAATCGGAATGTCTCTATTAATCTAACGCAAGAGGAACGTGCAGAATAAATTAATTACACTAGTCAACACGATTTTTCCTCAAGGAACAAAACGAACTTTTTCTTAAAGATTTGGGGCTTAGAAATGGTTTGATGATCTTTTTTTTTTCTATGGCAGAACTTTTTTTTAAAGAATTTTGGAAAACTGGTATTTTTTTAAGATTTTTTCAGAGGTAGCGCTTGTTTCCTTCACATAACTCTAGTATCTAACGTCTGGTTGTAAAGAACTTTGCTATTTTGAAAAGATAATTAAAACAGCTAGAAGTTAAGCCCAAACTCTTTGTGATTTCAGCTTACCGTCTGGGAAATATAAAGCATTGAAATGTAAAAATGATGATTTTTTTTAAACTCCAAAGTCTCTCCATAGATTTTAATGAGCGATACCTTAAACGACGCCAAATTAATGCACTTATAAAAAAAAAATAGAGGCACAGGACCTGTTCAATAACACAGGTTCTTCGCTGCGTTGATATCGGTTCATTGTCTGTCGTATGCCAGCATTGCAATGCATTGAAATTTCAATAGGAAGTCCCCGGTATATGTATGCTGCGCCATTGTATTTGAACTATTTATACCCATACTCAAAAAGAGTTAAGGGGTATATTGTATATGTGGTAAAAGTGGATCTGTGTAACGCAGAGAAGGAAACGTTTCCAACCCCATAAAGTATATATACTCTTGATCAGCATCAATAGCCGAGTCGATATAGCCATGTCCGTCTGTCCATCTGTCCGTCTTGATGAGCGCCTAGATCTCAGAGACTATAAGAGCTAGAGAAACCAAATTTGGTTTCCAGACTCATGTGATATCGCACTGCTACAAGTGTATTTTAAAATTTCGGCCCGCCCCCTTCCGCCATAACAAAGGACGAAAATCTGTAGCAGGCACAATTTTAAAGATACGATAAAACTAAAAACGCAGTATCGTAGAGAATGACCACATCTACCAGATTGCCGAATCTGAATTAGATCGGATCATAATTATAGCCAGAATGAAGAAATTAATTTTCAGTTGCTTCCCCCACGGTCTCCAGCAAGAGACCCGCTACTCATTCTCTTTCTCGCTCGCTCGTTCTGCCTCGTTATGTACGTGAGCGCCCGCTGGCGGAGAAGATGTATAATCTTAATCTAAATTGTAGATGCAGATGACTCCTTGTGGAGTCAAGAGATTCTATATTAAGTTTATGTAGTAGTTGTCGAGACGCGGTCAAAGGACACCCCCTCCCCACCCATCTATGTTACCGAACCCCCTCGGAACCAGAGAATCCCAACCGGCAGTGCCTCGACATCCGAAGCCACCCCTGCCAGCTTGTGCTAGGGCTACTATAATGTTACAAACATACATATGGGCAGTTCCGCCAAAAGGTCCAAGGGCCAAAAATCATAAAAAGTCAATAAAAACCGATTTCTATATAATTTTTTCCGGATATTTTTTCCAAATTTATTGAAAGGTAACTAATTTACTTTATTCACATATAATTTCATTAACTTTCATCCTAAAACCTATGAAAATAAGCAAAAGTTCACGTTTTTGGTATTTTCTGGTATTTTTATAGACATGTTTTCTTTTACTATTATCTCCTAGGAAGAAGATTATTATTGATAAAAGTTTCTGCTTAAAGTCTTTCTAATATATTAAACTACCTAAAACCATTATCAGAACGTTGGTCGAACCTTGGCTAACAGTATATTTTTAGGCTTTTATAATCGCGGAATTTGGTAACGTAACGCCAGTAACGTTCGCCAGATGCCTCCGCGGATTTTTAACAAAAAAACAGGAAAAGTTTTGAATTTAATAAGTTTGAAAATTAACTCTCAATACTTCATTTATTAGCACAAAAAATGTTATACAGATAGCCCTATCCAATTCGCAGAGTTTTGCCATTTTGTACCCCAACCTCGAAAACCACTTCTGTTTTATGTAACGCACTTTTGGGTCATACTTTGGCTTATATCTTTAAAACCGTACGCTCGATTATTGCCAATTTGGTGAATATAGGTCTAACCAAATTATATTCGATGAGGATAATCTTTTTTCCAAATTTCAGTTTTTTTACTATTTTTTTCAACATTTTGTCGTACGAATGTAACGTAACGCCAGATAGGAACTGTCCATATGTGCAATATATGATGTTTTAAAAAAAAAGTCACACTAAGGTCATGCTTCGTCGTTTTTGCAACGCAACTTTTCAAAAACCGTAGTTACAGGTGATCGATGGACTTGTAAGGTCGGCACACTGCAGCAGTTCATCAATGGCCTGAGCTGTAAAAAAAGAGTAGCAATAAATGGCAGAGGAAAACGTCGAATCAACGAAGCATGACCATATAGGGTTAATTGCAAACTAATTGTTTATTTGTCATCATTAATTGTACATCAAAAAAATACGAGTAGGTGAAGCATTAATTTTCCACTGACTGAAAAAATTGCATTAAGATGAATCGATCAAATATGCGAATTTCACTGGAATGTGCCAAAACAGTTGCTGTTAGGTCATCGACGTTTAAACATGTCCCACGCAGGAGGTGTCCTTTTTCTGCTCATTGTGGTTTCATATGAGGTTGGTATATCCATTCTTAATCACTGCGATATATTCTAAAACCTCGTTAAAATATGGCAGGTCGCTTCGAAGGTCGAGTTTACCAACATTGTATGTACTTCCCTCGATAAAGAGTTTTCCGAGTTTGAGTACTGCTATCTGAAGTCGGTGAATCGGACCTACAAATATGTGTCTGTTAAAAGTAAATTGTACCAAACACCGGTAACGAAAGTGAAAGTAAGTGCCACACACTGCAAGCTATACTTATTAATTCCACTCTGAAATCTCAGGTAAATTTTTCACTGTATAAACGATTCAATGGTTATAGGCCTTTTATGTACAACATCACTGTGGATGCCTGTAGATTCCTGAAGAATCCCAAATCGAACCCAGTTACATTGTTCTTTTTTAGCTCATTTGCTGAATTCTCAAATTTTAACCATTCGTGTCCCTTCAATGTAAGTTAATCCATTGTGGACGTATCCAACAATTTGAAAATATTTTTTTTTTCAGGGGGCACTTTTTCTGGAAAAGTTATCAACCGAGTTTGTAAATCACCAAGCTACTAAAGTGCTGCCATTTCCGGAAGGGGATTATATGATAGAAATTAATTGGATTGCCTACGACATCAATCGGGCTGTGATCAAATTTTATTTAACTCTTTCTTGACTTAAGAATTTTTCAGATATATGTACATATGTACTATACATATATATATATTAAAATGGAGAGATAAAAATGTATAGTAGTGCATCATCACGTGAGAAAGGCTGGGCAGATTTGGTTTCAATTTATATTCAGTTATTCCTATTTGCCAAAAGAATCTTTCTACGAAAGAAAATGCTGGGAAAACCAACCTTCGATCGCGAAAAAAGGGATTTTATATCTGTTTATCTTATGGAAGTAGGCGAAGAGGCAATTGTCATAGTTGAAGATAAGTTCTAAACTCGAGATATTATTCATCAATTGAGTTATAATATTCCTGCTATTAGACGATCAAACCTTGGAAGACGTACATAAAATACGTGAAATAAGTAATCGGAATGTCTCTATTAATCTAAAGCAAGAGGAACGTGCAGAATAAATTAATTATTGCACAGGTTCTTCGCTGCGTTGATATCGGTTCATTGTCTGTCGTATGCCAGCATTGCAATGCATTGAAATTTCAATCGGAAGTCCCCGGTATATGTATGCTGCGCCATTTTATTTGAACTATTTATACCCATATTCAAAAAGAATTAAGGGGTATATTGTATTTGTGGTAAAAGTGGATGTGTGTAACGCAGGGAAGGAAACGTTTGCAACCCCATAAAGTATATATACTCTTGATCAGCATCAATAGCCGAGTCGATATAGCCATGTCCGTCTGTCCGTCTGTCCATCTGTCCTAGCGCCTAGATCTCAGAGACTAGAGAAACCAAATTTGGTTCCCAGACTCATGTGATACCACACTGCTACAAGTGTATTTAAAAATTTCGCCTCGCCCCCTTCCGCCATAACAAAGCACGAAAATCTGTGGCAGGCACAATTTTAAAGATACGATAAAACTAAAAACGCAGTATCGTAGAGAATGCCCATATCTACCAGATTGCCGAATCTGAATTAGATCGGATCATAATTATAGCCAGAATGAAGAAATTTTCAGTTGCTTCCCCCACGGTTACTATAATGTTACAAATATATGTACATATGTGCAATATATGATGTTTTAAAAAAAAAATCACACTAAGGTCATGCTTCGTCGTTTTTGCAACGCAACTTTTCAAAAACCGTAGTTACAGGTGATCGATGGACTTGTAAGGTCGGCACACTGCAGCAGTTCATCAATGGCCTGAGCTGTAAAAAAAGAGTAGCAATAAATGGCAGAGGAAAACGTCGAATCAACGAAGCATGACCATATAGGGTTAATTGCAAACTAATTGTTTATTTGTCATCATTAATTGTACATCAAAAAAATGGGAGCATTAATTTTCCACTGACTAAAAAAATTGCATTGAGATGAATCGATCAAATATGCGAATTTAACTGGAATGTGCCAAAACAGTTGCTGTTAGGTCATCGACGTTTAAACATGTCCCACGCAGGAGGTGTCCTTTTTCTGCTCATTGTGGTTTCATATGAGGTTGGTATATCCATTCTTAATCACTGCGATATATTCTAAAACCTCGTTAAAATATGGCAGGTCGCTTCGAAGGTCGAGTTTACCAACATTGTATGTACTTCCCTCGATAAAGAGTTTTCCGAGTTTGAGTACTGCTATCTGAAGTCGGTGAATCGGACCTACAAATATGTGTCTGTTAAAAGTAACTTGTACCAAACACCGGTAAAGAAAGTGAAAGTAAGTGCCACACACTGCAAGTTATACTTATTAATTCCACTCTGAAATCTCAGGTAAATTTTTCACTGTATAAACGATTCAATGGTTATAGGCCTTTTATGTACAACATCACTGTGGATGCCTGTAGATTCCTGAAGAATCCCAAATCGAACCCAGTTACATTGTTCTTTTTTAGCTCATTTGCTGAATTCTCAAATTTGAACCATTCGTGTCCCTTCAATGTAAGTTAATCCATTGTGGACGTATCAAACAATTTGAAAATATTTTTTTTCCAGGGGGCACTTGTTCTGGAAAAGTTATCAACCGAGTTTATAAATCACCAAACTACTAAAGTGCTGCCATTTCCGGAAGGGGATTATATGGTAGAATTAAATTGGCTTGCCTACGACATCAATCGGTCTGTGATCAAATTTTATTATACTCTTTCTTGACTTATGTATTTGTCAGATATATGAATGTATAAAATGCCTTTGAATTGTTTGATAAAATTCGATAATAAAGTTTTGTTCATCCCCCTTCGGGTACTCTAATCATTCCGAGGTCGCAAACAAATCTTAATTGCAAAAGGAAAAAAATAGTTGACTTAATGATGCATTGACATGAATTTGACACCATTGCCAGTGCAATTGAGCTTGTGCCCTTTTTATACCCGTACTCAAAAATGAGTTAAGGGGTATATTAGATTTGTGGTAAAAGTGGATGTGTGTAACGCAGAGAAGGAAACGTTTCCGACCCCATAAAGTATATATATTCTTGATCAGCATCAATAGCCGAGTCGATAGAGCCATGTCAGTCTGTCCGTCTTGTTTGACGCCTGGATCTCAGAGACTATAAAAGCTAGAGCAACCAAATTTTGTTTCACACTGCTGCAAGTGTATTTCAAAATTTCGCTCCGCCCCCTTCCGCCTCCACAATTTTAAGGATACGATAAAACTAAAAACGCAGTATCGTAGAGAATGCCCATATCTACCAGATTGCCGAATCTGAATTAGATCGGATGATAATTATAGCCAGAATGAAGAAATTAATTTTCAGTTGCTTCCCCTGCCCCCTCCAGCCCACGACCACGCTACTCATTTTCCTTCTCGCTCGCACACTCGCCGCGTTCAGTGCGCGAGCAACCCCTAGCGGAGGAGATGTAGAATCTAAATGGTACATGTATAATCTACATGTTAGATGTAGAATATACATAATATATGTAGATGTAGATAACAGATGTAGCAAAAAAATGTAAAATGTAAAATTTTTTTTTTTTAATTTAAAAATTTGAAAAAATCATAAGCTGAAAAATGTATATACTGACTGAGTACGGGTATAAGTAGAGTCGCGTCCCCAGAAGCGACTCGCACGTTCCTTCTCGTTGTTTCTGAAGTTGATTTAGTTGTCAGTGTTTTTTCTGCGCGACCGATTTTTATGAAGTTATTGTCGTATGTTAAGTAGGCCTGCGCAGAGGTCGTAAACTATTTTTGATCTCCATATTGCCACCAATTAACTTTTAAATGTGATTTCGCGATTTCATTTTTATTTTGTCAAACATTGCATTGATTTAACTGTCATTGTGTTTTGTGACATTACGTATGTTTAATGATTTTTGAACAAGTATTAATCAAAGTAGTAGTAAGTAGTAATCAAAGTAGTAATCAAAGGACAAGTGTAGGCCTTTTGCTACCAATGCCAAACGAAGCACATGAGTTCTTACAAATATGTATACTTCATGGGTGGTGAGGACATAAATCGCGCACTAACCAATCGCGTAGATGCACGTTGCGGTTGCCATAACCTCAGTTCGGCAATAGCCAGGCGCATAGTTGGAGAGGTGGACGAGCTACTTAATCATCCCAATGAATTATTGAAATTATTTATCAAGCAAAAATTGAAGTCTTTAATGAGAGTCATTAGAAAATTACACGTGTTCAGTCAATCAAAATGCTGGATATGTTCAGTTTAATAATTAACATATTAAAAAACGAGAAGGAACGTGTGAGTCGCTTCTGGGGACGCGACTCTACTTATACCCGTACTCAGTCAGTATATACATTTTTGAGCTTATGATTTTTTAGAATTTTATAAAAAAAAAAAATTTTTTAATTTTACATTTTTTTGCTACATCTGATATCTACATCTACATATACAATGTATATTATACATCTAACATGTAGATTGTACATGTTCCATTAAGATTCTACATCTCCGCTAGGGGTTGCTCGTGCACTGAACGCGGCAGAGTGTGCGAGCGAGAAGGAAAATGAGTTGCGTTGTCGTTTGTGGGAGGGGGGGCAGGGGAAGCAACTGAAAATTAATTTCTTCATTCTGGCTATAATTATGATCCGATCTGTTTCAGATTCGACAGCCTGGTAGATATGGGCATTCTCTACGATACTGCGTCTTTATTTTTATCGTATCTTTAAAACTGTGCCTGCCACAGATTTTCGTCCTTTGTGTGGGCGGAAGGGGGCGGGGCGAAATTTTGAAATACACTTGTAGTAGTGTGATATCACATGAGTCTGGAAACCAACTTTGGTTACCCTAGCTCTTATAGTCTCTGAGATCCAGGCGTCAAACAAGACGGACAGATGGACAGACAGACGGACAGACAGACATGGCTCTATCGACTCGGCTATTGATGCTGATCAAGAATATATATACTTTATGGGGTCGGAAACGTTTCCTTCTCTGCGTTACACACATCCACTTTTACCACAAATCTAATATACCCCTTAACTCTTTTTTGAGTACGGGGTATAAAAATATCGATAATGGTGGACGTGAAATCAACAGCGTAGACATTGATATTGACTATCGTTCTGCAGTTCAGTGCAATCTATCAAATATATTTGCAAGTAAGTGGAAAAAATCAGCAATATGACTGTGTTTCAAATTCAAAATTCTGATGAGAATGCCCCTCTATTATAGGCATATGACATTAGACTTTGCTAACTGACTAGCTGGAAAAATAAAGATGGCCTTATGGGAAATGCCTGCAGTCAGAGCGAGCTGGAAAACTGCTGGAAAACATCATTGTGTGTCAAGAAGTGCCTCAGTTGTTCTACTAAAAGCCATTAGACGTGTCTAGAGACGGCTACGAACAATAATGTTGCATTTCGTCTCTAGTGATATCCCTCTCTATACAGAAAAATTGTCTAAGTCTAATGTCATATGGTTATTAAATGAAAATAATACGAGACTATGTTTTTTATGGATATGAATGAAATGATTCAAATACAAAAAAAAACAAAAACTATAAAATGATATAGAAGACTTGGTGGTTGGCGAACGAGCGAAACGAGTATATAATAATAGTTTCATTTATTTCAGCTATTGTTGAATGACAAATCGATAACGATAGATATATACATGGTGGCGAGCTTTTGTCAGAGTGTCAAAGAGAGGTAACGATTAATTACTCGCAGCTATGAAACGTGGCGCAAATTTTGAAATTTTACCCTTCTCCCTTCTCTGTTCCCTTCTCTCCCTTCTTTTGCATAACATAACTTAATTTGTATTCTTCTGACAAATATAATATTACCAATATATGTATATGTATAACAAATCAATTTCATGATCGACATAAATAAAAAGCTTGATGCATTGATTGTTGTAAGTTGTTTGCAATATCTAATTGATTGGGGGGGTCTGTTATTTCAACATTATATGAATACAATACAGGTAATGTATAGTGGAAAGTGACAGAAAGTGCAAAAGATTCTTGATAGTTCAGGGTACAAACGTATGTACGTTTCCCTCTGTCGCTATGCATACTCCAACGATGACTTCTTTAACCTGTTAAACATATTGAATTTGTGGAGTTTGCAATGCTACTATGCCTCTGCCGGCTACTCCTTTGATGGCAATCCTGATCAGGTTACAGCCGCACGTGGGCGTAATTTTCTCGCAATTAGGATGCGATTATGATAACATGACCGAACGTCGTCGAAAGGGTAATTGAAGAACAGGCCGTTCAACCCATTCCCTTCTTGGTTCCCTTCTGCTGCTTATGGTGCTGTGTTGCTGTGTGCTGGTGTTGCCACGTGCCACAAGACGCCTTCATCTGTCGGTTGGTCTGGACCAAAGTTTCAATTTGATATTCCTTTGCCTTACCGAGCGTCTTGGGGTTGTTTCAGGGCATGGATTAAGTTTTCAGGCAACTGGAGCAGCATCCCGTGCTGTGCCATACTGTGCTGTGCCGTGCTGGCAGTGTGGCTTATGCTTATGATGCCAAGAGGTGGCAGTCAGCCGGGGGAATCAGCATTGGGATACGAGCGGACTTTGCATTTGACAAAGTGCGAAATCCTTTACACTTTGAAGACTGATTGACTTCTTATCCTTGAATGGATTTGAATAGAATTTTATTTCAGTTTCCTTCGCTGCTAATGGGGGATGGGGATTGCATATGGAGTTGGGGTTGCTCGTAACGCCACTCTGTGCCCTCTCTGCCCTCTCTGCTCTGAGTCCTATATAAACAAACGGAAGATAATCAAGATGTAAAACACAATCCGGCAGGAGGAGTGGCAGGGGGTCGAGGGTCTACAAGTCGGGGCTGTGAGGGTGAGGGCGAGGTTGTCGGTCTGAGGCCTTAACACGGCGGCTGTAATTCAAAACCAAACAAAAAACCGTCAAAGAATCAAAAGGCAAGCGATGGCAAATTACAGATCTGTGAGATGTTACAGCAAAAACAGTTCGTTCCAGTTACAGTTACAGTTGCAGTTGCCTCACAAAAGGGCGCTGAGATGGAAGAGCGGGAGGGGAGGGCTGGTGGAAAACGTTGCTGAAAAATTGTGAAACGGAATTTCGCTTTGTACTTGGAAAACTGTTATTAACTTAATGAAGGAGTGTTGCGCGTCAGACACATTTACCTGACACGTGATTCGGGTTCCGTGCACGGTGCACGGTGCACATGTACCACGTACCGGAAACACTGGGATGGATGGGGAATCCCCCCTAATGTTGCAATGAGACGACTCTTCTTACGTTCATTATTTACTTTGCTCCATTCACACATTTTCCTGGATGCTGGGGCTGTCGTCTAAGGAATTGTAAGAAGACATTGGCGAAAAGTGGAGGGTGCCAATTAGCTGAGAACCTCCTGTACTAATTGTTTGATAACAAAGATATTAATTAAACGACTAAATACTATAGATCACGGACTGCCGAAATAGCTAACACAAGAAAAAGTGGGTCTACTCAGCGGGTATTGTGAATCACTCTTTTAGAAGATCTATCGAACTACTCCATTAAAGTATTATATTAAACAAACTGTGCAGACAGTCAGACATTTTACCATAGACTCAACAGCAGCTAACCAAGCCGAGCCACTGGCTGGTGTAATTAAACGGAGGCCAAGAGGAGCACACAGACTCCACTCGACTCCCGCCAGAGCCACAATTTAAACGACACATGGGAGAAGCGACGGAGCAGGGCTCTCCACGAGTGTGTAACCGTATCTTCGCTTTGGCTTTGGCTTTGGCGCTCAGATGAAGCTCATCGGGCAAAGTGGCA